ACGCCGATTCAATAACAACTCTTAAGAGAGAATAGATGGGTATTTGGGGAGGACAAGATTGCAGGGCTATGGAGAGAAATCGGGCCGGTGGCATTGAGTTGGATTGCTCTTTTCGGAGCCAGCGCAGACACGGTGGGCCGAATGGCCTCTTTCTGTACTGTATGATTCTATGATAACTATTTTAATTTACCCCTTAATAATAATCCTTACAATTTGTATAGCGCCTTATCACGTTGGATAGTGTCCCACAAACAGCAATGGAAACGAGTGACCAAATCTATTCGGGGGAATGCTGGTTAGGACATCTCGAGGACGTCTTTCCGACGTGAAGGCCGTTATATAAGTGTAATTTGTTGGTGGTGTTGACACAAGGGAGAGACTCCTCTTTTCGAATAGTATCACGAGATCTTTAATGACACTGAAACAGGGCAATGGACTTTGGTTTAATGACTCATGTGAAGGATGGCACCTCTGACAATGCAACAACCACCCCAGCTCTGCATTATAGCGTCAGCTTAGACTATGCGAATTCAATCTTCTGTCTCGGAGGCCAGAGTGCTACCATTGAGTCAAGCTGACACACAAATTTACTCACACAAGCAGCCTGGCTGGGTTTCCTTTTCCTGGATGATCAGTTGCGAATACATTATTTTATCTCACATTTGCCTGCGAAACAATGACTGCACTTGATAGGAACCACAAACTCATCCTGATTTCGTGAACTAAAATCATAAAATCATCGTGAGCTAAACTCAACACCCAAACTTGACTGGCGGACATGTCAGTCTTCTGACAGCTGCATGTCTCCTCAGACCCTGTTCAAGCCACTGTATCCTGCAGTTTGCAAAAGAGAACAAGCTTACAATTGAGACTGAATTAAAGAATTTTCCAGAACAATTTGATTGGAACAAAAAATGCCTCCTGATTTCACTTCTTGAAGGTTAAGATTTCACCCCCTTGTTCTGTATTTTCTCTGTAGCTACAATGGGCTCGGACCAGGTAGAATTTTGTGTCTCAGAGCTGGGTTATTATTGATGCATCTGTTTGAGCGCCCAGACTTTGGACCGTGTTGTTCTGGATTTGAATGGATGGCACGCATGAATGCATGCATGCATGCATGTATGTATTTATTTGTTTATTAATTAACAGACAATTTTTCCTCTTTTTTTGGGGCCTCAGAGTTCCGCTTGGCACTGGTTCAGCTGTTGGTCTCCCCGCTAAAGGCCGACAATCTCTGCCGAGCGAGATCCCTGGTGAAGGAGGCAGCACAGAAGGGGGCAAGTATGGTGGCACTTCCTGTAAGTAGATAATTAAAGGAGAAGAAGCTGTATACCAAGGGATCTTTAACTGAATCATTCAAGGCCCCAAATTCCACTTAGTCTTAACATGGATTGAGGTGGAATTGTGGAAAATCCTTAAATTCAGTCTCAATTTGGAAATCAAATGTGGTCACTCAATCAACGACTGTTTGTGGGACGCCGCTGTGGACAATTGACAGCCACGTTTCACCCACAAATACACAGTCAATCCGCTTTACAATATATTCTGTGAAGCTGAGACGTCTCAATGACGTGATAAGGTGCTATATCAAATGCAAGGATTATTATTATTATAATGATCTTCCAAATTAAAACCGAATAAGGATTTTGAACTTAAAATTTAAAACAAATGTAAGCCGATACTTAAGACTGTTTGGTTTAAATTGAAGTGTGGTTAAATGTAAAACGTTACCTCAGGTAGATAGGGAGTTTAAGAGACACTAAAGTGAGCATTCAATAGCATTTGTCTGCTTTTGGTTTGTTTAAATATTTGCATTGTAGATGAACATTCATTGGGAATGAAAGAATTGGGGAATCGCTTTCCTGGTGTAATAATCCCTCCCCAAAAAATAATAATATTAATTTAGTCTCTCAATCCATGACTGTTCGTGGGACACTGATGTGCGCAATTTGCTGTCATGGTTTGCCCACAAAAATATACAGTCAATTCACTTTACATATATTTTGTGAAGTGCTTTGAAACGTCTTAACGATGTGAAAAGGTGTTATATCAAATGCAAGGATTATTATTATATTATTATATTAACTACCTTGACTTTCTGACATTTCTTAAAAATTCCCAAACATTTCCCATTGCAGGAATGTTTCAACTCCCCGTACGGAACAAAGTATTTCCCAGAATACGCAGAAAAGATCCCAGGGGAATCTACCCAAATGCTATCCGAGGTAGCAAAGGAGTGTGGGATTTATCTTATTGGAGGTAAATGTAGGAACTCTTCAGAAAGGTTCAGAAGTTTTAAGTAAGTTCCTTACTCCACGTGCCTCTGTTTACCTAGCAGTAAGTAGGAACCCGGTTGTTAGTCAATTGGCGGATCACTTCTCCGGGGCTAATAATCCCTTCAAAAAATAATAATTTGGTCATTCAATCCCCGACTGTGTGTGGAACACTGCTGTGTGCAATTGGCTGCCACGTTTCGCCCACAAACTATACAGTCAATTCACTTTACAGTATATTCTGTAAAGCACTTTCAGAAGTCTCAAAGATGTGATCAGGAGCTATATCAAAGGCAAGGATTCATATTATTAGAAACCAGGCCTATTTATCTTATATAAATGAACTTCATCAATAGTTCATCAAAACAAGCTGCACTTAGGCAGCTCCCAAAGCCACAAAAGCAATGCATTTATATAGCATCATTTGTGCAAAATAAGCAGGGAAAGGAACGAGCAGAGAGCTGATCCTGAATATTGTTCTTACAGGATCCATACCAGAGGAGGAGAATGGAATGTTCTACAACACGTGTACAGTGTTTGCACCTGACGGATCCATGATGCTAAAGCACAGAAAGGTTTAAAAGCCGTCGCTAGGGATCTGTGGGTCTCAATGGAATAGCTGACTGACCTTTCAAATTGGGGATGAATACATTTGAATGTTGGGAGACCCATTTGAATGAGAGAGCATTCGAATGGTTTAATGCATCATTTCCCCAGAAACGTAGACCATAACAAGCTGTTTTATCTTGCAATGAATAGTAGAACCAGAGGGCACCACCTACGACTGAAGGGGAGTAAATTCGGAACAAATCTGCAGAAACACTACTTCAGTGAGCGAGCAGTAAACTTATGTAACAGGCTCCCTGGGGGGACAGTGGAAGCAGAAATTGTCAGTTGTTTCAAGAACAAATTAGATAGATTTCTGCTACAGAATAATATCTCGGGATACAGTGTATATTTTGGTCAAGTGTATAGTTTTTGTCAAGCGACTGCTTCATGTCGGGCAGACATCCCAAGGCGCTGAACAGTCGGGGATCAGGACCCGAGCGTGGGGGGCCGGCTGGGTTGGGATGAGAGAGGGCAGACAGGTAGGTCGCTGAAGAAGCAGTCGAAAAAGAGGGTCTTGAGTCGTGCCTTGAAGGAGGCAAGGGAGGGAGCAAGGCGAAGGGATTATGGGATGGAGTTCCAAAGGGTGGGGGCAGAGAGGCTTAAATCCAGGCCGCCGATGGTAGGCCAGGTCGGACGGGAGACATAAAGCAGGCCAGAGCCTACTGATTGAACGGAGGGAGAGGATAGGTTGATAGGGAGTTAGCAGGTCAGAGAGGTAGGAGGGGGCAAGGCCGTGGAGGGCCTCGAAAGTGAGGTCTAGGATTTTGAACTCTATCCTCTGAGGGATGGGGAGCCAGTGAAGCCAAGAGAGGGTGGGGGTGACGAGGTTATGGAGCCAGGTGCAGGAGAGGACACATAACATCAGAAATAGGAGCAGCAGTAGGCCATTCGGCCCCTCGAGCCTGGCCCGCCATTTAATAAGAACATCCCTGAATACCTTCAGTTTTTAAAACTCTATCGATCTCAGTCTTCAATACACTCAATGACTGAACATCTACAGCCTTCTGGGGTAGAGAATTCCATAAATTCACTGCCCTCTGAGTGAAGAAATGTTTTCTTAACTCAGTTCTAAAAGGCTGACCTTTAATCCTGAGACTATGACCCCCTAGTTTTAGATTCTCCAACCAGGGGAAACAGTCTCACACTATCTAGTATTTGAGAGTGCAGGTATGAGTCCACTATTTTTGGTAAGTTTTTGGTATCTTCCAACATGAAGACAGAAGCAAAATGTTTGTTTAGTGACTCTGTCATTTCTTTATTCCCCATTATAATTTCTCCTGTCTCTGCCTGTAAGGGACTCATATTTGCTTTTGTTAGTCTCTTCCTCTGTATATACTTGTAAAAGCTCTTACAATCTATCTTTATATCTCTAGCTAGTTTACTCTCATATTCCATTTTCTCCCTCTTAATCCGTTTCTTGGTTATCCTTTGCTGATCTCTAAAGCTCTCCCAATCCTCAGGTTTACAACTCTTTTTGGCAACATTATAGGTCTCTTCTTTTAATTTTATACTTTCCTTAACTTCTCTAGTTAGCCATGGTTGAATCACTTTTCCCATGGAATTTTTACTTCTCAAGGGGATATGTGTTCGCTGGGAATTATCTAAAATATCTTTGAACGTTTGCCATTGCTTGTCTACTGTCATATCTTTTAATCTACTTTCCCAGTCTATTTTAGCCAAATCGTCCCTCATACCTGCAAAGTTGGCTTTATTTAAGTTTAGACCTTTTTTTGGACTTGACTACATCACACTCAAACTTAACATTAATTTCCATCATATTATGGCCACTCTGCCCTTGAGGAGCCTTAACGTCCAGATTAGTGATTAGCGCTGCTTCGTTACACAATACAAGACCTGGGATCGCCTGTTCCCTGGTTGGTTCCTCAACATACTGTTCTAGAAAACTCTCTCTAATGCATTCCATAAACTCATCCTCTAATTTACTTTTGCCAATTTGGTTTTCCCAGTCTACATGAAGATTAAAATCACCCACTGTTAGTGTATTACCCTTGTTACACGCTCCTCTAATTTCTTGATTAATACTCTGCCCAATACTGTAACTGCTGTTCGGGGGTCTATAAACTACTCCCACAAGTGTTTTCTGCCCCTTGTCGTTTCTCAGCTCCACCCATACTTATTCTACATCCCGGTTTTCTGACTTAATATCCTTCCTCTCTGCTGTTTTTATTCATCCTTTATTAACAGGACTAAGCTCCCCCACCTTTCGTTTTCTATATTGCCTGTCTTTCCTATACATCAAGTACCTGGAATGTTTAGCTTCCAACCTTGGTCTCCCTGTGACAATGTCTCAATAATGGCTACTATATCGTATTCGTTTATCTCTTATTTGTGCCGTTAATTCATCTATCTTGTCAGGAATGTTTCGTGCATTCAGGTATAGCGCCTTTAATTTTAACTTAATTAGTCACTCAACTTGTCCCACAAGACAAACGAACAGGGAAGTGGTTCACGGCTGGAAACCTTAGTTGAAGTCCAAGTCTTGATGGAAGCAACTGACCGTTCAATCTTTGTGTTTGCAACAGATCCACTTGTTCGACATCGATGTTCCTGGCAAAATCCGCTTCCAGGAATCCGAGACGCTTTCTCCTGGCAACACGTTATCCACTTTCGATACACGTAAGTGAAGAATACTGAGCAGCTTACATGTTACAGAGATTCCACACAGTGCAAATTCTCTTTTTTACTTCCCACTACCATCAACCCACTTTCTGTGCATACTGGCTAAATAAAACACGTCTCTGGGAACCTCGGTACAGAGGTTTAACCACACCTCTTAAGTCAATTTTCTTTGTTTTCCCAATTTCTCTTTACAGCTTATTGCAAGGTGGGGATTGGGATCTGCTATGACATTCGGTTTGCGGAACTCGCACAGATCTACACAAAAAAAGGTGAGCAAATAGGCGCCCATTTACTGTGAAACAAGGCAGCCAGGCAGCATGTTACTCAAAATACATCGTGGAGGCCTGTAGCTCAGTGGTTACAGCACTCGCCTTGCAAGTGAGAGGACCTGGGTTCAATTCCCGGCAGGGCGAAACATTGGGCGAGTTTCCTTACTCCACACGCCTCTGTTTACCTAGCAATAAGTAGGAACCCGGTTGTTAGTCGTTTGGCGGATCGCTTTTCTGGGGATAATAATCACTTTTTAAAAAAACAAATTTGGTCACTCAATCCACGACTGTTTGTGGGACACTGCTGTGCGTAATTGGCTGCCACGTTTCACCAACAAGATATACAGTCAATTCACTTTACAGTATATTCTGTGAAGCGCTTTGAGACATCTCGTAGGTGTGATAACGTGCAATATCAAATGCAAGGATTATTATTATTATATCTTTAGAACATTATAGCTGCAGATTTGTGTCTGTGTGAAGCTGTTTAACCTGATGAGACTTATAATGATAAATATGCATGGTGATGAACCCTTGGGACCTATATGCAGTTTTTAAAGTTTGGATTCTGTCAGATTATCTATCAAGCAAATATAAATTAATGCTGCTAAAACACGCTTTTTGGTTTAAAAAAATAAATAATGTGACAAATTAATAATAATCCTTGCATTTGATACAGCGCTTTTCACGTCGGGAGGACGTCCCACAGCGCTTCACAGAACACACTGTAAAGTGAGTTGACTGTATATTTGTGGGAGAACGCGGCAGCCAATTGCGAATAGCAATGTCCCACAAACAGTCGTAGATTGAAAATGACCAATTTATTATTGCTTTTGGTTTTGGAGGGATTATTATTAGGTGTGTGGAGTAAGGAAACTTGCCCAAGGTTTTGCCCTGACTGCCTGCAATTGAACTCAGGTCTCTCGCTTCCAAAGCGAGTGCTCTAACCACTGAGCTACAGGACTCCATAATATAGTACTGATGCCTGCGTTATTAACTTTGTATTTTGCAATCTTAGATTTAGGTATTAATGTAAAAACGTCTTTGTTGCTAATCCACGACAGCCTGTGGGACACTGGTGTGTGCAATTGGCTGCCGTGTTTCGCCCATAAGTCAATTCACTTTACAGCATATTCTGTGAAGCACTTTGAGATGTCACAACAACGTGATAAGGCGTTATATCAAACACAAATATTATTATTATTATTATTATGTGCTGCAGGATGCCAGCTTCTCCTGTATCCCGGAGCGTTCAACATGACCACAGGACCAGCCCACTGGGAACTCCTGCAAAGAGCCAGGTCAGTTTGCTGTGCAAAAAATTTTTTTTTTTCAAGAAAGTTAAGCATGGGTGAAATAAGATGACCTTAGATCTTCAGGAGGATGCTGGGGGCAGTTCAGGTCTCAACTTCCTTGCATGACAGCTGTCTTTGAAGAGGGAGCATTTCACCACATATTTTTATGTTTAAACTGTTGATATGACACAGAAACACAACATTTGACCCACCTAAACTGTGCAGAGCCCCTCCCTCTCCTGTTCCCCTCCCGTATACCTCTCTTCTCGCTCGCGTATGTTTTCTCAAATGTGTTGGTGCTTTTTGCTTCAACCACAGCTTCCAGCAGCAAGTTGCACATTGTTACCACCCTCTGCGTATCCCCCTAAGTTCCCCCTTAGATCTCCTACTGGCTCCCTTATAGTTGTCAATCCATTCTTCAAAATCTTAATACATTTTCTTATTCGAAACGAGCGTGGCAAACTTGCACTGATGAGCACTGCTCAGTCTTTTCTTATTTGGTCATCAAAATAAGGACATAGCAATTAATACAAAAAGGATTTGCTCTTCATAAAGGTTCTGTGCATTATTATTATAGAAACTGAGAGCATGTGATTTTATTGCTGATTTAATCCCCTTTGTGCCACCGCAGGGCTGTTGATAACCAGGTGTATGTCGCTGGAGTATCACCTGCGCGGGATGAGAAAGCTTCCTATGTCGCCTGGGGACACAGCACTGTGGTGAATCCTTGGTATGTACCTCTTTGACATGGATTCAGAAGTTGCTGTCTGTAAGTTTTCTTTTAAAAATCCCACTTTGTCAACGAGCTCAGCTGGTAGCGCTCTCAGCTCCGAGTCAGAAGGTTTGTGGGTTGAAGCCGCTTTGTGAGACTTTGAACTCACGTAGTCTAGGCTGCCACTCCGGTCCATTGCTATCTTTCGGATGAGACATTAAACTAAGGTCCTGCCTACCCATTCAGGTGTACGTTAAACATCCCATGATAAAATCGATCATTCATTTCAATGGCTGCTTGTGGGACATTGCATTGTGCAAATTAGCTGCCGCATTCACCTACAAAATACATGGTTACTGTACTTAGTTGTAAATAAATCCTGTGAAGTGCTCCAAAATGTCTCAACGACGTGTTAAGACGCTATCAAGTGCAAAGCTAATTTTTTATGAATGAGCACCTCTACCACTTGTGGAGCAATTGTATGGCTTCCACTTGGTGGCTTCCCACAAAAATCAGTCAGTGATTTGGAAATAGTCATGAACACAAACCTGCAATCTCTTTCTCTGGGGCTGTGCTTAAAGGCACTTTGAACCATGCCACTCAAGGTATAATTCAGTTGTTGAAGTACGTGTTTTTCTCTTTCGTTGCACATTCACAAACACAGTTCAATAAAACTTTCTTCTCACATGCATGTTTTTTTTAATCCATCCAGGGGTGAAATAGTAACTAAAGCTGGATGTGATGAGACCATTATCTATGCAGATGTCGGTGAGACTCTCAGCTCTTGTGCTAATTGCTGTTGAACCACGTTTATAACTCAAGCTTATGGCATCGATGGGGTGTGGATCCTGACATTTACTGATCCAAATAAATATAACATACGCCCAGGGTGCAGGAAGTGACATCAGTGGCGACCTGATGACTCAGAAGCTAGTCATCTTGGGTTCCCATACGTTGGCAGCACCAGCAAAGTTGATCATCTGTCTGGACAGGTCATCGTGTTCCCTGTAGCACTTATTGGAATATTATGGACTCACAATTAGCACATTGTAAACTGGGTGCATTTATCTTCCTTCCCTCCACTCCCTCGATTCTGACCCCAAGCCAGGGGGAGAGGGAGGGGTGGAGGTGACTACTAAGCCTGATCAAAAAAATAAGGTCTTTCGGCAGGATTTGAAAGTGGGGAGGAAGAGGGCAAAGCTGAGGGATTGAGGGAGGCAGTAGGTGTAGGTTGTCAAAAATAGTAATCCCTCCAAAACCCAAAAAAAGATAATAAATTGGTCATTTTCAATCTACGACTGTTTGTGGGACATTGCTGTGCGCAATTGGCTGCCGCGTTCGCCCACAAATATACAGTCAATTCACTTTACAGTGTGTGCTGTGAAGCGCTTTGGGACGTCCCCCTGACGTGAAAAGCGCTATATCAAATGCAAGGATTATTATTATTATAATAAAGGCTAGGGCTCGGGCACCCCAGAGTTTGCATTGGGGTAAAGAGACTTTGCGAATATTTGTTCCCCAAAACAAAGATTTTGTAATGAAGTTGTTTGTGTGTTCTATTTTGCCATTTGACAGATTTGCAGTACCTTACAGCGGTTCGGCAGCAGATACCAATTCACTCACAGAAGCGCCACGATCTCTACAGTGTGGAGGCTGTGCAGGAATGAGCTCCACGGCCTCCAAACGCCAAAGTGCCACACAGTCTCACCTTATAAAGACCATTTTGCCTTAAAACTGATGACCGGGCAGAATTGTGAAAAATTCATGAATTCATTTCTAATTTAAAAGCCAGTTTTCCATCGTTCTTAAAAAGAACGGTCACTGGGAGCCGAGAATCCTCCCACTCAGCTCCTGAGAACGCTGCAAACTAAAGCCTTAACGGGTAGTTTGGTCCGAGCTGGACAAGCAGCGGGAAAGCTCGCCAGAAATCGATATCAATGGCAAGCGATGCGGTTTTAGCTGGTTGGACTCCAGCAGTACCCCAATGGGCACCTCAAGCTTTGGCCCGTACCGACCTGCGCCTTGTAAGGGTTAATTAAATTTGTGACCCTGCGGTGAAGTAAGGACCCAAACAAATTCTTCAGTCAATTAATATTTCAGAAATGCATCTCAAAAGTTATACGTTTCATCAAATGAATGCTTAGTAAAGTTCACTGCAATGGATTGAGTGGATTCATATTGATGTCGGAATCGGCTTGTTAAACATGCATCGATCCACGTTGATTGTAGTTTATCCCGTTTTCCTCGAGATTGGTTGTGATCAGCTGCTCCATTCTCTCTTCTCCGATATAACCCAAAAACTCTCTGTATACCTGTTTGGTCACATACGCCAGTCAGTTCAATGTGTTGTTTGAAACACCAACTGCAAACCAAGGACTAATGTTATCAAATTTTCAGCAGCTCGTTTCAAAACAAGTCTTTGTCCCACGGTGAATTTGACGAAGAAAACTTTGTTCCATAAACATACTTCCACTGTCCTTGGCTTCCATTGGCTTTCAAGCATTTGCATATATCGTCAGCTTTTACGAGGTAAACAGGTCCATAAGTCTCCACGATTTTTCTTTAGTCAACCCTTTGATCAACTCAAGCATTTCAGAATTCTGGGATTGCTTACAGCTTAATACTTCCCGGAATTAGGTCAACAGGATGTGTCCTTCGAGGGAGAGTGTGCATTCCATTCCAACAATCGTATCTCGGGAATTTTCACGTGTAGGTGGGATGCATGAAAATCTCAGCTTGGTTTGAATATTCATAAGTGTGGTGATGGGTTTCCACATTTTTTGGGGGTCAGCCGGCTGACCCCAAAAAAAGAATTGGCTTCCACATTAAGACTGAATGTAAGAATTTCCACAGTTCTGCACGTTATTCAATTTTAAAGCAAAAAATGGTCGTTACAGGTTCAGCCTAGGTGAAACCTTAGACTTCAGTCCAGTCATTCACTCAGAAACAGTACATGGAAAATAAAATAATTCTGACTGAATAAAGTATAGTTTTACCTCTTTTATCATTGTCCTGTTTTTAAACATCAATGGTCCATGCAAATCTGCACATTCTCACGCACCTGATATATTATTTTCAGGCTGGTTTAAACAGGCTGAGAAATACAGTCGCCAGTAGGACTTATAGAATCATTGATCGCATGACCCTTTGTCCTGCTGACTTGGTGTATCTGAAAGTATTGTTTTGTCTTCACTTTCTCTATTCCATTGAGCATTTTATGTCTTGCATCCCTTGAATTCAGCAGTCAAAGTGGGCCTGCCTTTTGCTGACAGTTCAGAATATAGATATCTCTGAATTTCCCAGCATTGATTCTCACTGGACCCTTTTATGGTCCAACAGATGATACGAAAAGTCTTTCAATGGTGCAGCTGTGGAGGAAACAGCATGATGACGATGCCAGTGCAAGTGAAGAGATAATACAAAATTACATTTGACAGCGTCTTTCACATCGGGAGGATGGAGGGTAGGCGCGGTTGAAGAGGGTCTTGAGAAGTGCCTTGAGGGAGGCAACGGAGGAAGCAAGGCAAAGAGATTGTGGGATGGAGTTTCAAAGGATGGGAGCAGAGAGGCTGAAGGCCTGACCGCTGATGGTGTGGCAGGCCAGGCACGAGATGTGGAGCAGGTTGTAGCCTGCTGAGTAGAGGGAGCGGGCAGTATATGGAGTCCTGTAGCTCAGTGGTTAGAGCACTCACCTCACAAGCGAGAGACCTGGATTCGATTCTCAGCAGGGTGAAATGTTGGGCAAGTTTCCTTACTCCACACGCCTCTTTACCTAGCAGTAATACTCCCTCGGTGATGGTCATGTTTGCCAGGATCTGATCAAGTTCAGGGCGGTTTCTCACAGCAAGAAGGATGTGCCGGGGTGAAATGTGGCATTTGTTGTTTTCCCTGGGGGTGTTTCCTACCAGTTCCAGTATCTCTGAACAGTTACTCCAGCACCACAGCCCCGATCCTCTCAGAGTACCTCCCCTTCCTCAAACCCTGTGTAATCTTCCCACTGGGAAATCTTCCCCAGCTCTAGCAGAGGGCGCTCTATATCTTCTCCTCCAGCCACCGTAATCAAAACATCCCGATACAATTCTCACTCAAAAGCACCTGGTCTAATCCTAGAAATGAATGACCTACACCCAATCCCCCGTATTTAAAGAGCAAGCTGACCAGCGGGTGTATCCAGGCAAGAGTCAATTGGTATTGGTGTTGAAAGGATGGCTCCAAATCCGACAACCCAGATTGCCCAATCCTACTGCTCGAACCAAACACCCAGCTGACCAATTCTGACTGAACAAAGTATAGCTTAGCCTTACCTCTTTTATCATTGTCCTGTTTTAAACATCAATGGTCCATCCAAATCGGCACCTTCCCATGCACCTGATATTATTTTCAGGCTGAGAAATTCAGTGGCCCATGAACTGATACTAACTAAAACATAGAGAGCTGCAGTTGTAATGAACACATTTCTTACTCCTTAACTAATTTAATAATAATCCTTGCATAGCGCCTTATCACATCTTCGAGATGTCTCAAAGCACTTTACAGATATATATATATATATATATATATATATATGGGCAAAACGTGGCAGCCAATTGCGCACAGCAGTGTCCCACAAACAGTCATGGATTGAGTGACCAATTTATTTGTTTATTTTTTTTAAGCAATTATTACCCGGAAAAGCGATCCACCAATCGACCAAAAACAGGGTTAACTCTTCAAGGCGCACATACTGTTATTTTTCATAACATTAGCAACTACCCCGTAACATATGTCACGCTTAGACATAAATGCTACAATTTAGCTGACTGATTTGGCTTAAAAGTGTCTACAAATCATTCCAATAGATTAACGATTGCATAAGGATTTGTAACTTAAAATAATATTTTAAACAGTAATTATTTGGACATGTTTGCAAGATTATTCTAAAGAACTCTACTCTATTCTTTTCTCCTGTGTTGTACATCCGAGTGAATTTATTTACATTTTTCTGTTAAATCAATCTACATTCAACTGAATTGACCTGACATTAAACATTCTATTTACAGTAGCTACTGAAAGCTATTATTAAAGGGTTGAGTTCTAAGGCCCAGTGAAAGCTCTGCTATAACAAAGGTTGTGTCACCTGAGAAATTACAGTTCACGTTTATTGGAGACACTTTATGAGAACAGAATAAGCATCTTTGCATTTGATATTGAGTTGAAATGTCTCAAAGCATTTTATAGTGATTACTGTTAAGTGAAGTGACAATGTAAAGTTGTAGGAAAATGCAGAAGCCAATTTGCAAATGGCAATGTCCCTTAAACAGCTGGGGGGTCGAATGACCAATTTTTCTGGAGGATTATTGGCCAGGATACGCAGAGAAACTCCTCTCCTTTTTAAACAATGCATAAATTATTACATTATTTATTATTATAAATTATTCCATCAGCAACATTTACATGAAAGGTTAAGATGCCACAAGATGCTAAATAGACATTTTTGTTGACGATATTTACTCTCCACCAAGGAATACAGCCTCTAATTCTCCTTTAAGATGCCTCCTGCCTATGCACCTGTCCCCCCAACATGACCGATAGTTGTTGCCATCAATGATGTGTTGAATAGCCGCCAGGAGGCTTGTAGCAGGCTGGTGAACTCAACATTATCCCATTTCCTGCTTCCAGCAAGGAGCCACTCTCCCTAGCAGAATACACTCAAGACAGTAACCTTGGCGGATGATCATTCTTTGAAATATTTGTTTTGTTTCATAGATTCATAACACCATTTTGATTCCGGATGCCTTATTTATTGGATGAATTTACACTGTATATAGGTCATTTACAAAAAANTAACTAGTTCAATAACTTTCCAGTGCATTTTCAAATAATGTATTCAATAGGCATTAGTCCTTGATAACATGGAATGCTTTTACTGAAGAGCACATGCTTCCATTAAGGGCCTTCTATTTCCACGTACAACTGTCTAGGCCAGACAAATAGAACCTTTAGCAAGATCAAAATGAAACTCATTTTATCTGCACATGAATACCATGAAATGATCATTAAAATGAGAATGGAGAAGCTCCTGCTTCCAGACTCCTTGAGCAGCCTGCACACATTGCCACATATGATAGGCTCAAACACCTAAACTGAAAAGCCAGCACAGGGAAGCCCAGCCAAGAGTTTCTTCCGGCTTGGGCAACTCTAACATAATAGTTGGAAGATTTCCCTGATTTTATTCAATGATGTTTGATTCATTCATCTTTCCAACACCCTCCCCTCACTCCCCCCCGCCCACCGTTAAAAGTAGTGCTTTTCACAAAATGTGTCGAACGAATTACGATTCCATTATACAACAGCATGCTGTTGCATTTGGCTTTTTTAAAAAAAAAAAGTTTGCAAAGTCCACATTTAAGAAGAGATGGTTTTCCACAAGAGTGTATAAAGGATCCCTTTAAGCATGTCAAATTATGTCTCATACAATACAAACTCTGGCTTTTCTCCTCAGGCCTCGGGCTTACATATCTGAAGCGGCACAGAGCGCATACTTCAAACAGGTAAGAGGTGTTATGCAGATAATGCGTTTATAAATGGAAACAATTTATTTTAGCCCATTTCCATCATTATTCCCCCTTCAGAAAAACTCACATTAAGGAAAAAAAATCCCAATCACATTTTTGAATGCAATTAAATTCAGTTTTGAATCTATTGCATTCTAAGCTATTTATATTACAGCATATTTATACTTTTAAAGGGGATCCCACACATGTTGTACTGTACAGAATAGCTTTTTTTTAAAAAAAAGTACCACGTTATCCTAAAATGAAAATAACCATGTTATTTATATGGCCTGATTACGTTCCATTTAAAAAAAACATGCTTTTGTTCAGTGCCGTCATTCCATTTTATAGGCCGATTCCATAGCACATTGTTGTATACCTTCGTCATTACTCACTGCTAAAGCACCTATACAGAAAACAACAGAACATCACAAAAACACTGGTGGACCATTCAACAATGGCTTTATAAAAGTTATCATCAGGGGCTCAACTGAACAACAACAAAGTAGCTCTGTGTGTGCGTGTTTGTGTTTAAATTACAGTGTTGGGGGTTTCAATCCATATTTCTTAGCAACTTCTGTCTGTGCATACGCTGCGTCACACAGCGAATACAGGTGAGCCATCTCCATTTCTGACTTGGCTAGGTTGATGGCCTTGTTGAACATATCGATGGCCTTATCCAGATTTCCTCTGCAAACAGATTTTAACATACACAAGTTAGCTGCTTGAAAAGTAGTTTGTATCGCTTTACCAGCCGATCGCATAGTCTACTCTGAATACGTGGCACTGAATACAGGGCCTACCCGAACACAGAGGTTAGCCAAACTGCAGGATGTGCAATTTTCCAGTCTAAGAATCCCTTAAATGCAGAGTTATGCTGAAAACAAGACTTGTTGAGATCACAAAACATTCTGCTCAGTGCAGGAGACTGCAAGCAGCTCCCACACCAGCTGCTGGGCTCTGCCAAATAATCATTCAAGCACTTGAAAGTGTACCAAATAAATAAGGACTGATTTCCAGACTTCTTCCCTCTGAAGGATAATAATCCCTCCAAAGACTGCTATTTAATACTATCCAGAATTAGGTAACCAAAGTGCTTCCCTCCAGGAAAGAGTGTGCAACAATTGGGAGATGGTCTGTGGTAATCTATCACTGCGTCATTACTACACCACAATTCAGCACAACCAATTTTAGGCCTGGTGGCAAGAAACAATCTTTCTTCCACAATGTCACCTTAGTTCGATAATCATGTATCAGTCATCTTATCCATGTATCCTTCAAGAGGTTGATTCAGGTTCAGTGAAATTAACAATTGTTTTACATTACCTCTGGACTTCAATGGTGCCCATCGTTTCATATGCAAAGTCACATTTGTTATCAATCTCAATGGCCTTGCCGATCAGCTCCAGGCCTTTATCCAAATCCTGCTTCCACTGAAGCTGTAGTAAACTAAATAAAATAAAGTCAATATGTAAAGCCACCAAGAAGCAATGTGGTTCAGCATATTTGCTAGCAAAGTAAAAAACGATCAGAATAAAAGTTCCCAGTATCCAGGATGATCAATAGCCAACACTTTCCCCAGCACAACATCTCAGGAATAGCCTGAAATAATTTTGTTTTTAAACACATAGTATCAATTAATCCACATTGTGGTACTGAAACCTACAGATCAATACGGTCCAAAGTTCAATCACTGGTCTGCACTCAGTGACTGTCCGTCAGGATAGCCACGTCATTTCTCTGGAAAAGGTAAGGATGAAGAGGGCCTAGGGTTACACATCCCAGAGGGTTACCTGGGTGGCCAAAGTTGAGTTGGCTAAGATGGTGAAAGAACCATCTGACAGACTGTTCACATCAACAATAACCAGAGGGCCGATAACACAGCCCATTCAAGCGAGTTACTGCCTCTCTTGTCTCTTTCTCAACCCCTCTCTCAATCGCTGTCTCCCACTCTGATCATCTGTCTCGACAATGAACCACGAAACGCTGCCCTCACTTCTCCCTCTTGTGTTCGTCATCACACCCTCTCTCAAATCATTTCGCTCTGCTCTCTCCCCGTTTCTTTCTCTCCTCCTCTCTCAATCCCCACCTCCCCTATCTCAATCCCTCTCTCCCCGTTTCTCATTTTCTCTCTCCCAATCAGCCTCGCGGTTCACTCTGCAGCGGCAGGAATCAGCGGTTGCTAAGCATGCGTGCGCTTGCTTTCCCCTCAGCTTCAGTACACAATGCAGTAAACGGCTGGCAATATTTTCACTCTGCGCGCCCCAGCGCCCCGAACACCAGCTCCTCCCACTGTCATGGAAGGAAGTTCGCCAGGAAAGGAGGGAGCAGAAGTTGGAAATGGTCTCGGGCTGGATAAAATCACCCGCTGGGCTGGATGTGGCCTGCCTGTTGGACCATGCGGGTTTAGACCAAAAATTAGAATTTAAAATTACAGTTCAGTGTGATTTGGGCACAAAACAAGTATGATCAAGTTGATGTTATATTCAAGTCAAGAGAACATGACTTACCCTTTATGAACGTATGTTGTTGCATTGTCTGGTTCCAGCTCAATGCATTTATCATACATTTCATCTGCTTTGCCAAATTGCTGCTGGTCTGTCAGAGCCTGATAAAAACAAATAAAAAGTTTTTGTCCCCAAACTAGATTTCATCCAATGAAAGTGATTCAAAACATGCTACAGTATAATACAAATTTACATATATATACACATACACAATACAAGACAACTAAACTTATGAATGTGTAATAATAATCCTTGCATTTGATAAATTAAGTGCCTTCAATGTTGGGAGGATGTTTCAAAGCTTCCCAGGATTTCCTGTAAACTGTAAAGCAGGCAAACATAATGTGAGACTTACTTGTGCATACAGTGCATAGCCCTCTGCACACTTTGGAAATGTTTTAATAACATCTTCAAACCCTTTCATAGCTCCTTGGACCTGCATGGGGTTGCTTCCAGTGTAGGCCTGACGATACTGGAAGAGAGATTCTGATTAGAAACAGTGCAAACTATTTTAGTTGGTTAATTAAGGCCCAACAATTTCCACTTACCCATTATTCTGTCCTGCTTGGACAACATAAATATACACTGAGGCAGATATACTGAATCAGATTATCAAAATAGCTTCTAATGTACATTTTTTGGTACATGTCATCACACATCATCCCCTCACATGCCAGAAACTGCATGAAATTAATTTTAAGAAGCTACAGGTGGCTTTGATTCTAGAAATTATTCTATTAATCGGTAAGAAGTGATGGGATTCACAGAAGGAAGCCATCAAGTCGATCACAACTTCATTGCTCTCAGTTTCCCTGTAGGAGCCATCTACTGCAATCCTACACTCTTCCCTATAAAGCTATTTCCCTAAACTGTTTCATATTTTCCCTTCAAGATTTATCCGTTTTCTGTTAAATGGATTCACTTCAGTAAGGCATTCTGAATCGTAACCAATCTCATTTACATTTCTTTTCTTCTTCTGCTAATCCAGTTTATTATGCCTTCTTGTCACCAGCTCGATCAGTGAAGACTCTCTTATTATCCTGTTAAAAACTGAGCCAGGACAAGGACGCTGACGTTGAGTGGAATGTGTTTAACCTGCCTAAGTGACAGGAAGCAAAACTGACTATTCTAATCAGATTACACAGTATCCCCTCTACAGGCTGGTTATTGAATTAAATCAATGGCTTGATGTGCAGGACACACAACAACAAGATTTCATTTATAGAGTGCCTTTCACGTCGGGAGGACGACCCAAGGCCCTGGACAGTTGGGTCAAGACCCGAGCAGAGGGAAAATGGTCAGGGTGAGGGAGGAGGGGGGGGTAGAGAGTCGAGAGGGGAGCTGAAGGCACGGTCAAAGAGAAAGGTCTTGAGACCGGCCTTGAAGGAGGAAAGGGAGGAGGCAAGGCAAAGGCACTGGGGGATGGAGTTCCAGAGCCTAGGGGCTGAGAGGCTGAAGGCCCGGCCACCGATGGTAGGGCGGTTGGGGCGGGGGATGTGGAGCAGACCGGAGCCAGAGGAACGGAGGGTACGGGCAGGTAAGTAGGGGGATAGTAGGTCGGAGAGGTAGGAGGGAGCAAGGCCGTGAATGGCCTTGTAGGTGAGGATGAGGATCTTGAATTCGATCCTCTGGGGGATGGGGAGCCAGTGGAGGCGAGCGAGGGTGGGAGTGATGTGGTCCCGAAGCCTGGTGCGGGACAGTACACGAGCTGCAGAGTTCTGAATGACCTGCAGCTTGTGGAGGGAGGTGCCGGGAAGGCCGGCGAGGAGAGAGTTCCCATAGTCCAGCCTTGAGGTGATAAAGGCGTGGACCAGAGTTTCAGCAGCGTGAGGGGTGAGGTAGTGCCGTAGTCTGGCGATGTTTCGGAGGTGATGGAAGGCGGTGCCAGTTGTGGCGCGGATATGAGGAAGAAAGGACAGCTCAGGGTCGAACAGAACCCGAGGTTCCTGACTGGCTTTGAGAGGTGGAGAGTGCAGCCTTGGATGCTGATGCTGTCAGCGCCTGAGGTGCGGAGGCGCTGACGTGAGCCAATCAGGAGGGCCTCAGTTTTGCGCACGTTGAGCTGAAGAAAGTTATCTCTCGTCCAGGACTCGATGTCGGACAGGCAGCTGTCAGGACATCGGTGGTCGTGGAGTTGAGGGTAGAGGAGGAAAGGTAGAGTTGGGTGTCATCCGCATACATGTGGAAGTTAACCCCATGTCTGCGGATGATGTCACCAAGGGGGAGCATATAGAGGGTGAAGAGGAGGGGACCGAGGACAGAGCCCTGAGGGACACCGCACGAGACAGTGCGGGGGCCGGAGGAAAAGCCGTTTGTGGAAACAAAATGAAGATGGTGGGAGAGGTACGACCTAAACCACTCAAGGACAGGGCCTTGAAGGTTGAGGTAGGAGGACAAGCGGTGGAGGAGGATAGCGTGGTCGACCGTATCGAATGCTGCCGATAGGTCAAAGAGGACGAGGAGGCAGAGGGAGCCCTGGTCGCAGATGGTCAGGATGTTATTGGTGACCTTGACCAGGGCAGTTTCTGTGCTATGGGAAGAACGGAAACCCGACTGAAGGGGTTCGAATAATGCATGGGTGGAGAGGAAAGAGCGCAGCTGGGAGGCGACAACTCTTTCAAGGACCTTGGACAGGAAGGGGAGGTTGGAGATGGGCCGGTAGCCTGATAGTGCAGGCCCATAGGGGCCTGGAAATCTGCAATAAAAGACACTTAGGACCAATATCCTCACTGCGGGGTTATAGGAGCTCATCATCTCCTGCCTCTCAGGGCCCAGCACCGCACACTGACATAGAGACACAGACAGACAGACAGACAGACAGACAGACAGACAGACAGACAGACAGACAGACAGACAGACAGACAGACAGACCGACCAGACCGACACGAGGAGAGACACACATGCATATTCACAGACCCTCATAAACACAAACACACACAAATATAGGAATTAGCAGTAGGGGGTTTGGCTAAATTCATCCCCTTCCTCAATCACAGGCACACTAAGTCCAAATATAGCACTCCAACTGTTGCCTCAGCTCAGACCAATTAACACAGCAAGGATCCAGACTTGAATCCTTGTGACCTGCTCTGTACAGCTCCGTGCTGCACGTGTTGATGCCATCATTGGAAAGTCTCAAAATGATTTGATATTGTTGCTTCTTACCATTTTCAAGATGGTTGCCCTCGACATTCGCTTAGGCCAATTGTGACGGAGCCACTGGCTGAGACCAGTTAACACGCCAAGTTGATTCTATGAGCTTCGGCTCTACGTGTGGCTCTTTGACACACCGAACAAATTGTCCTCTCACTAAGCCACCCAAGGAAATATTCAAATCTACACTGTAATCACCATTATTTAACTATAGGAAGGAAAACTGTCGAGATATTTTCACCTAAATGTTTTAAGCTGCTGCTACCATCAAGCGAACATATCCAGTTAAGAGTAGGCCAGTTAAGAGTAGGTTTGCGATTGAAATCTTTTTGCATTGTACTTGATATTTTTCCCACATTTAAGAAAACAATAATCATGAGAATGAAACGAAGATCAACTGACCATTTACACAGCCGTTCAATCCTCATATTACAAGGACCTAATAGACCTTTGACTTAACTCAAGGTTTTCTCTCAAGCAAACAAACTGACCTAAAGAGTGTGCAATAGTCAATAGCTAATGTCAAATATAAAACTAGATGGGAATGAATAAAGAGAATGTTCCTTTATGAATATGCAACATTGAAAAACAAACCCGATCCTTATTTTGCACTCTGCACAAAGACGTACATTTGTGGTAGTTTGTGGGTTGACTTACCAATGCAAAGCATTTCTGGGCTTGTGCAAGAGCAGAGTCCGGTCGAAGTCTAATGCACTCATCAAAATCATCAACAGCCTCCTCAACCTGGTCGAGTAAAATTTTAAGCTGCAAGCACACAAAGTAAACCAAACATGGAATTGTAACCTCGGCTGTTAAAAGTCATCACAAGAGAGGTTTGGATGAAGAAGGTCCTTCAGCCTCTGCATCTTTGCAGAATACTCAGTCTACCATCTCCCCACTCCAGCATCAAGCATCATGCTTCTTAACTGAGTCCAGCATCTTGATTTCAACCACCCTCTCAGATAACCCATTCCAGTCATCAGTTGCTCTCAGTTCAAAGAAACACCACTAGTGTCTGTGCTGAAATTGCCCTTCATAATCCTGAACCTGTGCCCTCTTGTCCCGCTGTCTTAGAATATCCGAAAATATTGTTTGGTTTATTTTCTCAATATCTACTAAATATCTTACACACTCTACTAAGGTCTCCTCTAAACCGTCTCCACAATGGACACAACTGTTTAAAAATCTAAGCTGCATAGAAGATATCACAGTAGGTAACATTAGGAGCTGGATTTGAAAATAAAATTACCATGAAGTAAACACACTCATCCTACAGTGGGTTTATTACTAAATACAAGATAGAAATAAAACAAACATGAGATTATAGTTTTGACACATTTCCCTTCTCCTCCCCCGTTCCAAATTGCTCTCTTCGGGTCACACTCGCACAGTGAAGGTCAAGGAGACTGCTGAATGGTGGGCTAATGCAGGCTCCACTATAATATGATCCCAGCTCACTTCCGTTAGTGACAAGTCCAGTCTCACATTTCACAAAAGGTTACTGTAGCCTTGTGTCTCCCCATAGGGTTGCCTGATATTCACTGTAGATAATTTCCATTTTCCTTATAGTGAGAACAAACAGATTGTAGACAGAAAAGCTATCCACTGAGTAAAAAGTTCCTGAAACACATTCATATAGTGCGTTTCATATCGGGAGGATGATCCAAAGCACACAACAATACTTGGAGGTGGGAGCTGTGAGCTGAGTGGGATGGGGAGGGGAAAGCTGATTGAAAGTGCAGTCAAAGAGGTAGACTTTGAGCCAGTCCTTGGTCGATGTGAAGTAAGGGAAAGAGTGAGTTGGAGAGTCTCTGGGAATGGAGTGCCAGAAAGTGGAAGCAGCAAGGCTGAAAGCTCATCTGATGATGGAAGGGTGGGGGAACGTGCATAAGTTTATTTGATTGCTTTATAAATTTGAACGAAAGGCCACACAAACGCAGGTGCTTGCTCAGATTATATTAAACTGTTCCTACCTGTCCACGGTGGTGGTAAACGTCCGCATTATGATGGTCAATACTTGCAGCCATGTCAAAGTCTTGTGTGGACATTTGGGGTTGTTGCTGTTGCATGAACATGCTTCCACGCTTGATCAGTGCATTGGCACGCAGCTGGAGATCAAAACACAGATCAAATATTAATAATTCTTGCATTTGTTATAGCGCCTTATCACGTCTTCGAGACGTCTCAAAGCGCTTCACAGAAGATACTGTAAAGAGAATCGACTGTATATTTTGTGCGTAAAATGTATAGTTCATTTGAAAGGTGTAAACTTTTTTGTTGGAAGTGGCTGGGGTCAAATTACCAGTTATATCCTATCACGTTAGCAGCAATTCCGAATAGATACAAGCACTGATTGTTTCAGTAAAAAGCAAGCGCTCAAATCAGTATAGTTCAAATAGTGTAGTTAGCCACCATTAATTCATTTTGTACATATTCTTTAGACGGGCCTCAAAAGGCTGTCAGTATCAGCTATCTATATTTTACACTGAATAATATAAATGCACCATCTCGCGAATGCAGTTCAGGTTGTGGCAAGTGAAGAGTTCTGGTTTTAGCCACACACTACAAAACAATACCACCCCCCCCCCCCCACCCCTGTTTATTCAAGCACTTCATGCTATAATCCGTGTAAAACCAAATAATTTTATTATTATTAACTTTAAAACAAATGTTTCAACCCTCCACATTGCATTATAAAAAAAAAGTTTGGAAGTCAATCAACTTCAAGTGGCTATTGAAGCTCAAACCACGACATTTAGACAGGGATTGGATAAATACCTGAAGATGAATATAAAAGGGTAAGGGTGGAGGGAAAAAAAGTGTAGTAAACTGGGATTAGAGTGGCTGGATAAAGTGGAATAATATAGGTCACTTGGGCAACAACACCTTGGACACATTTTTTCTTAAGGAGGCAGTGTCCCTGACAACTTCCTGTACAGGATGGTGGCCATTTCTTCTTTATATCTAGAAAATAATATCTTGGGATACAGTGTATATTTTGGGACACGACATGTCAAGCGATGGTGGAAGGCGAACTAGATAAGGCATTGGTTTTCTTTCGCCTAACAAATTCTTATCTTCCTATGTATATTTGGAGGTTTGAAATTCTGCAGTGGATGTTTTAGGAGGACGGGCTGTTACTGTAATAGCTACTTTCATCCCTACTCTTAGACACAAAGTGGAATCTGATGCCTACCTTAACATTTGCATCCTCCATGCTTACGACCATATCCAGGTCTGGTTTAGCAGCCGTAGCATTGCCGATGAGCAGGTAGAATGTGGCCCGCAATAACAAGCCTTCAGCCATATACTTCCCCTTTGTCTCAATTTCTTTTGTGCATTCACTGATAATTTTGTCATAGTTCTCTTCTTCCATGTACTGCTTAGCCTTAAGATATCCAGATCTGAAATCAAATAAAAGATTGCAGCTTTGAAGACTAAATCACAAACTATCAGAAGAGTTATAAGGCTGGTCATGCAATTATAAGGTCTTTCTAGCATGAGTTGATGTGTGTTAGTTTAATGTATTACTATATTCATTAGGCACTCGTTTTGGGTTCCTGATAACAGTAGAAATTCCTTCCAGATTCATGGCAAAAATAATAATGATAATACTTGCATTTGATATAGCACATTATCATGTCTTCGAGACGTCTCAAAGCGCTTCACAGAATATACTGCAAAGTGAAATTACTGTGTATATATTAAACATAAAGATAATTCAATCACTTCTTGCACTGAAAATATAATTGCTACTTCTGTATAGATTATAGATGCACCTAATGAGCCATATACGTTGACAGTTTATTACTATTATTACTAACAAAGTACAAGCAGGCAGAAAAAATTATAAACAAAGACCCATAGATGTAGCAATAATAATAATCCTTGCATTTGATGCAGCACCTTATCATGCCTTCGAGACATCTCAAAGTGCTTCACAGAATATACTGTAAAGTGAATTCACTGTATATTTTGTGGGCAAAACGCAGCAGCCAATTGCACACAGCAGTATCCAACAACTAGTCGTGGATTGAGTGATCACATTGAGGGTTTATTACCGCAAAGTAATCCGCCAATCCACTAATGACCGTTTAGAACTCCACAAATGTTTGATGTACCAGACTCTTTTTCTTTTTGATGATTTCATCAGTACTCACCGAAGCTAAAGTATGTACACTGTGAAGTTTAATCTCAATAGAATTATATACAGTATTGCCTGTAATCCCGTTTACCTCCAAGGAGGATAGTCACTGTTTGGCCATTTGACACCCGACATTTGACAAGTGCAGTTTTGAGCCCCCATTAAACGAAGAGCAGGTATGAGCTTCCTCTGCTGATAATTAAACTATCATACACCAATTTACTTCATGGGAAGATCTGCCTTTGTAATAGCCTTCCATCTAATCTTTCAATACAAATATTGAAAAAATCTACTTTTTCACTTATCCATCTGTGGGCATGGTTTCATGAGCAGTGGTGTCTCTCCAACATCTCTCTAAGTAATCAGTCTTCAAGTCCGAGTCAACAGTGAGCAGTGTTGAACTAAGGAAGGACTCAACACAGTCCTATCTAATCCCACTCGTGGAGACTTCCAGGGAACTCTGCCTCTCTCTCCCCCCAACCTACAGGTACCCAGTGCCATTTGTGTGCCCTCATTACCTGCTAGGCACTCAACATGGAATAGGGATAGAGCTGGGTTTGGGGGTGTGGGGTTGGGGGAATGAGAAATGCGAAACTTAAAAACTACTTTTATACACTCACCTTGCTGTTCTTCCATTGTCAGCAGTTTCACCCTCTTTGTCTTTGTCTTCATCGGGTTTTTCGCCTTTTAGGAAAGGTTGTGAGACGATGTCGTCAGTGAAGGAATTAAAGTATGACTTGATAAACTGTGGGGAAGGCATCAGAGGCTCCCTGTTCTACAAGAGAGGAAAAGGGAATCCCAATGAATGGGGGAAAAAGCACTTCCTCATGGAACTGTTTGCTTTACATGAGTAATTCTAACACAACCTTACAAGAAATTGCAAGCAAAACTAACAAGACACTTCACATCAGGTACCTATGATGTGGCCAACGTAAAGGATTATAAAAGGTCTAAAAGTTCAAAACCAGGTTTTGACTTGATGCTATTTGCCTTCTATTGCAGAATTTTCTCAATGTTATCTTTATTCTTCCCCTCCATGATTCAGTTCCTCTATAGTCCCCTTCTGTCAGAAACAGTGGGGTGCAAGCTTTCCTAAACTCACACAAGTTCAGGTGCTCTTTGCAAGGGAAGAGAACAGATAGGAAACTTCTAATCTGCTTCCCCTGAGGAAATATGAAATGTGAGTGGGTGAAAACAATCTGTTGTCGTATCATATTGATACAATGCTCTGGATGAATGCGATATGAAAAATCTAGGCTGATATGCATAACAGATATCTCCAATATTGTAGTTACCAACCTTGTATTTATCTTTGGCTTTCTCTTTACCCAGAAGCTTAAGCACTTTATCGGCGAGCAGCATGCTTTGTTGGTTTTGGAATCCCTCCAGGATACAAACGGCAGTGACATCTGAAAGAGACGGAAAATCCAAATAGACATTTTGAAATATTTACTTGAATATTCATCTTTTTAGACTTCCAGATATAGTCACCAAATAATTGGCAGTTTAAAATAATAGGTTGATGCACTTTAAGACTGGAAAACATAGTATTTAGATACAAATGCTATTTTATATCCATTGACTTGGGTTAACGTTACTCCCCAAACTTTAATGGAGTGGATTTCAATTGCACAGAACAGGACAACACTTTTGTAAAGGTTTTCTTTTCAAATGTATCGTATCCTTTTGCTTCTTGATTTCCCCATTATCAAACATTATTAGACATTTAAGATTCTCCACAGCCTATAGAAAGTTTGTTTTGAGAAGCAATGTCTTCTATATCTGAACATTTATGACTTAAATGCACAAAAATCTTATATCACGAAACAAACTCATTCCTCATGCATAATATTGCAATATCAACATTCGAGGTTTCAAATATTCAATGATCACATTACGCCAGAGTGCCAACAGTGTTGGAAGTGCAAAAAAAAATTATGGGATCAGAGACTGGGTTAACGTCCTTTTTTTAAAAATCTCTGGGACCCAGGATTGATTCCAACCCAGACTGGTGGAATGAAACACTGTTACTTGGAATGAATATAAAAAGCAGAAAACTATTCACCCTAATGCAGTTACTGTTCTGAAGTTAGAGCTAATGAGCTAACACATTATTGAGTAGTATAAAGGGGACTTCATCCTTCACTTGCTGTACCTCATCTGGACATTCTTTATAATTAAGAGATAGCTCAATAGGTTCCAAGTTTTACAACACTAATACCTTACACTCCTTAGGACTGTAAGCAATCCTAGAATTCTGGATTGCTTGAGTTCACCAAAAGGTTGACTCAAGAAAAATTGCGGAGACTTATGGACTAGTTTACTTTGTAAAAGCTGATGATATACGCAAATGCTTGAAAGCCAAGGACAACGGAAGCATGTTTACTGAACAAAGTTTTTCTTTAAAATGATCGTGGGATAAAGACTTGTTTTGAAACGAGCTGTTGGAATTTTGATAAAGCTTGTCCTTAGATTGCAGCTCGTGTTTCTAACAACACAATGAACTGGCTGGCATATGTGACTAAAAAGGTAGAAAGAATCAAGAGTTTTTGGGTTATATCAGAGAAGAGCAAATGGAGCAGGCAATCACAACCAATCTCGAGGAAAGAGGGATAAATTACAATCAACTTGGATCAATGCACATTAACAAGCTGATTCCAACATCAAAGCCACAAATTGATCCGATCAACCCATTTTGGTGAACTTTACTAACCTGTCGTAAGCATTAATTTCGTTTGATGAAACGTGTAACTTTGATATGCACTTATTTATTAATTTGTATTAATAAATATCAGTTGACTGAAGAATTTGTATTGGACCTTACTTCACCACAGATTCCATAATTAGCGTTCTCAACAGTTTTAGCGTTACGCTTTGAGCTGTGAAGCTCCAGTATACACTTTACTCTCTTGCTTCTTTGAAACTAGATAGCGGAGATTTTAAAATAAAATAAATCAGCGCTCAATTTGAAAACAGATACAAACCTTCTAAACACTCTTTTTTATTATCTAGTCTCTCATACGCCTTTGCCCGGCGGAATAGTGCCTTTATGTACTTTGGGTTGAGTTCCACAGCTTTGGTGCAGTCATCAGCAACTTCGTTCCATTTTTGCTGCAATGAAAACCATTAAAATGGATCAGAGATTACCAACTCATTTTCATTATCAATACACAGTGCCATAAAATTTATGCAGTGTCTAAAACTCAAATGCACACAACAACAACTTGCATTTATATAGCTCCCTTCACGATGGATGGCGCCTCGGAGCGCTTAATGTCCCCTCCCCCCATATACTGCATGCAACTTCTACTAAAGAAAACCGTAAGTCTGTACTACTGGGAAGGGGGAGGAAAAGAGAGAGGGAGGCGGGAAGCAAGCTGGGATTAAATGTTCTACAATTAAAAAACAAAACTGTACAATGGTAGTGTAGTGCAGAATTTCAAGTTTCTTTCCCCCACCCACCCACCCAAAACGGAGCATATCCATTTAGTGGCTAGTTTTCATCTACAAAAACGGTCGAAGAATAGGCTGTGCTTCCTGCTCAATTTGCAAACCATTCTTTACCATTCAATCCAGTGTTTACTGGTAATTATGTGGCTTAATCGCTGACACTTTTGTTTCAAGTTTAATTCAAGGTCCGATGTTCACATGTACTTTTCTAACCATCACTTTCATGAAAAAGTGTGTAACTTCAGCAAGTGGCCTACGTGAGCACTCAATGTCGACTGATTTGTTTATAGCAAATTTATAAACACAGTACACCGTTAATGCAATTAACCTATTAATACTCCATTGCACAGCCATAACAAAGATTGTTAAAGCTGCAGTGCTCCACACTGTTTGAAATCCTCTAAGGCTCTAAAGTTCACCTCCTACTGAAAGAAATTCAAAAACCAGAGCTGATTTTTTTAAAAATCTTATTCATTTTTGTTAACTGAAAAACCGTCCTCATGAAATCGTTATAGCCCATAGTTACTTTATCAGTGGTTATTTCTAGACAGCAACATTCTCCATCTTTCTTAAGTGGGCCTCTACGGACGCAAACAGGGCAACGAATGGAGAAGGCAAAATACAGTAAATAATCTTTTTCAAAAGCCACTATTTATAAAAACAGATCAAGCGGAAACTTCGGAGAAATGCCATCAAATAACACTGCTGAGTATCCGACTGCTTTGCTGACAAGCATGTGCATCGATGCAAACGCAACTCTAAATCACCACATGTTCTGGAGCTAGAGATGTAGCACATCACAGTATTACTGCAATCAAAAGATGTGAACAGCTTTGAAACTAGCTGGCAAACCACAAACCAAGCGGTTAAAGGTCGGTTAACACCACGCAATTAGTGAATTTAACTAAAGGCTCGACATAAGCTGTACCAATTGTCACGTCGTGTGCCTCTTTTCGAAAAGAGAAAAAAAAATTGTCAGTCAGCAAATAAGCTGAGATAATAATAATAATCCTTGCATTTGATATAGCGCTTTTCACGTCGGGAGGACGTCCCAAAGCGCTTCACAGAACACACTGTAAAGTGAATTGACTGTATATTTGTGGGCGAACGCGACAGCTAATTGCGCACAGCAATGTCCCACAAACAGTCATGGATTGAAAATGACCAATTTTTATTATTGTTTTTTTTTGGGAGGGATTATTATTAGGCTCTGTGTGGAGTAAGGAAACTTGCCCAAGGTTTCGCCCTCTGCCTGGAATTGAACTCAGGTCTCTCGCTTGCAAAGCGAGTGCTCTAACCACTGAGCTACAAGACTCCACGTTTTAGTTCTCCTTTTAGTTCAGGGCTAGACTCACCAATCCTTACATCAGGATTTTTACATACAATCCTGTAAAGAAAAAAGGGACCGGTTTTAAAATGCCTGGTGATCCGAAGGTTCCCAAAGCAAAGCCAGCAAGTAATCATCTTTGCATAAGCCAGTGTCAATTGGTATTTGGATTAACAAAAAAATGCTTTCAAATCAACGATCATCTGGCTTTAGTAGTTGCTTACTATCTTTTGTCTAATATTGTTAATTGTATTATGACCATTTGAGAGATGGAGGGGGGGTGGGGGCGTTAAGAATCCACAGAGCTTCTAAGATGCAACTGGCAGTGCATTCATTTATTAATCAACACTAATAATTCCTTCAAAAAAATCTGCAGTATTTTGTGTTTTGTTCTCTTTACAGTATATTTTGTGAAGTGCTTCGAAATGTCTCAAAGGCACGATAAGGTGCTATATCAAATGCAAGGATTATTATTATAGTTTTGGGTGCAAGTGTAAAACTGTAATCCACAGAAAAGTTCCCAAGGTGGTACATGACACTGTGCTGCTACGCAACCAATGTAAAATCTTTTGTTTGATACTTGACCCAAATGACAAAATCTATCTCTGTATCGCTGAGGAATGAGCTGGAATAACCAACGATTTTGAAGCACCAGCATACAACCCAAACCCTATCGAGTGAATTCATTATGAAATAATCTAACCCTGGACTGCTGTAAGACATACAGCATCTACCAGCTGTGCTGGTCAAAAAAACTAAGTGCATAGCATTAAACGAACTCGGCAGTTAGTCAGGACTTGTCATGTAAGATTATTGCTTCAAATTGCTTTGGGAGAGTTCCATCGTATGGGAACATAGTGGCCACCAACTGTGTGACAAGAGGGATCCGGAAATGAGCAATAGAGTTGGAGGAGCATACTGTACAGGAAAAGAATGGGGCTGGAGATAGGGTGGTATTCAATATGAAATTCTGATTAATACTCAGGCAACTCCATGCAGCAGTCAAATAAATACATTCTAAAATAATCATCAGTGCGGTTTATCCAATCTCCAATAATTCATCTCATGTCTACAAAAATCAGCATGGTGTTGATGGAGGGGAGAATTATACACTTTGGATATATGCAACTTAGTGTAGTGTACACAGTAATGTTTATGATATAATAATTATGTTTGTCGGACACTGCTGTGTGCAATTGGCTGCTGCGTTTTGTCCACAAAGTATACAGTCAATTCACTTTACAGTATATTCTGTGAAGTGCTTTGAGATGTCTCGAAGATGTGATAAGGCGCTATATCAAATGCAAGTATTATTAGACCACTAAATAGATACCTCCATGCAGCCTTTTCATGGGCCTCTAGAAGAAGAAAACCAAATAGGTCAAAGTTTTGTTTCGCTCTGTTTTACTGGGTCACAAATGAATTGAATGTTTAATGTACAAGAATTAAACAGTGTGTTCAATTTGATCTTGGCTCAATTTCTGAAAAGCAGCAAACACAAGATCCCACAAGGAGATCTCACTTGACCAAATATCTCACACATTAATTTTTTTTATTACTGCCAAATGAAGCTTATGGTATCCTCTACCTTCTAGTACTGGAGAACCATGTTAATTAAGTACTGTTAATATTTCTGACTATGAGAAAAAATACATTTTAGCCAGGTTATAGAATTTGGTAGGTTACTTTGCTGAGATTTCACCTGCAGGATCAAAAACAGGAGTGTATTTACGACTATAATCCAAAAATAAAAAGGTTTTATATTCCACCGTTAAATTAGCTATACCATTCCCTCTGACACAGCACTCTCCTTAGTACTAAGATATATGTAGATGCACCTAAACCTCAGCTGTCTGGAATTCCTGGCTAAATGTAATTACAATGACAGTACCAGCATTTTCCAAAAAGGCATAGCTATCTTCTGCTCACGGGATTCAAACAATCAGAGTCAAAGTGCTATCCCTGGCCAATGTGAAGGCCAGAATGGACGGTGAGGTTGCTCAGTGCAGCATTGGTGTGTGCCAGGAGAGTTGGGAGTCAGGAGTCTACACTCCTGACATCCTCCCGACGTGAAAGGTGCTCTATAAATGGAATCTTGTTGTTGTTGTTGTTGTTGTACACGCTGGCCTGCAGAAATCGTTTTGGTTTCAGGCCCGGTCCTGATAGTTTGAATTCCAGATACCCAGAGTCCAGTAAGCCAGTGGGGTGTAGGGAGGAATGGGTTACTGTATTACATACCATCTGTTCAAATGCTGCAGCCCTGTTCTGGTAGAACGTTGAAAGGTCTTGTTTCTGGTCGTGCGGGCAGAGGCTAATTGCCTCAGTGTAGCACTGAATGGCTTGATCATACTTGGCAGCTTTAAAATATTTGTTTCCTCTATTCTTTGCAGCCTGGGCCTTGTCCAACAAGCTCTATGGAAGTAAAAATATTTATTAAGGCATCAAGAAATGTTTAATAAAGAATCAACAATAATTTATCTTTTTTGTATAGCATGTGCTGCCTACGATCCACTGTCCCCACTCATTGAAAAACCGCAATAGGGAACTGTCGTTCTCAATCTCTCCACTTTGCCTCCTCTTTCCCCGTCTTCATATTAGACCTGAGAACACCTTTTCGACCTTACCTACAGTACATGTCCATGGCTCAGCGTCAACTATTAATCATTCTGAGACACTATCCCAAGTGAAGGGTGCTATATAAATGCAAGTTGCTGCTGTTGTGTTTTCTGGTCCTTTCATTCCTATGGGGTTCTTTAGCCAATCTCTGTAATATCATGAGGATGGGAGGAGAGATGAGAGGAGAAGTTCAGGATCGGGTAGTTTTGATCAGCTCCCAGGATAGTCTGAAGGCCCATCCTCCACTGAAGTCAATGTGGCCAGCCAGCTCTTTCCTGTAACTAACATTGCTCGAGTGACTTACGAAAGAGAACACTCAAAGAACAGGTCTTCATAGCAACAACGAGATTACATTTGTAAAGCGCGTTTCAAATTGGGAGGATGTCCCAAGGCACTGAACAGTCAGGGATCAGGACCTGAGCTGGAGGGCAGGGTTCGGATGAGGGAGGGCAGAGAGGGTAGGAGGGCAGCTGAAGGCACGGTCAAAAAGGAGGGTCTCGAGTCGTGCCTTGAAGGAGGCAAGGGAAGCTAGGAAAGTGGATGACATTCAAACCCACCCACCCACCATTTTTCCGTCCCTTTTAATAGTGTCAAGGGCTCAGGGGCTTCACTCTATTTGAAGGGAGCGATACAAAATGCAAGTTGTTGTGCATAAATTAAAGAATAAGCATAACTCCATGAAATGCCAGAAAAAGTCAAATTTACATTCCCTAGTTATGTCAATTGTAAACTCTTGATGGGTACTCAACAGTATCATGTCCAGACCAAGTAAAGCAGGTAAAGATTGCTGCAATATTTTGGGTACGTATAAAGCAAACTGGCTTCAAACAACTCCAGGCAGAGGGCGAAACCTCGGGCAAGTTTCCTTACTCCACACAGAGCCTAATAATAATCCCTCCAAAAAAACCAAAAACAATAATAAATTGGTCATTTTCAATCCACGTCTGTTTGTGGGACATTGCTGTGCGCAATTGGCTGCCGCGTTCACCCACAAATATACAGTCAATTCACTTTACAGTGTGTTCTGTGAAGCGCTTTGGGACGTCCTCCCGACGTGAAAAGCGCTATATCAAATGCAAGGATTATTATTATTATTATTATTAATCTCTAGATGCCAAATGAAAGGTTACAATCTACTTAACCACCATATCTCCCATTGTGATATACCACGCTTTACTTTGAAATAATGCAATCTCACTGCAATGTTATATAGGCCACTTCAGTGAGGATTTCGAGATGAAACTGAAAGATTGAAATCGGTATATGGCAGAATGAAGCCACACCTCCCTCCTCCCAGACTCTTTTTCTCTCTCTCGTCCCTCTCCCAGGTTCTCTCTCCCTCTTCTAGGCCCTCTCCTACCCCCCACCCCCTCCTTAACCCCTCTCACCTAAGCCCCCTATCTCACCCCTCCCCTTCCCCCTCCCCAGGCCCATACTCCTACTCCCCACCCACAGGCCCACACTCTCTCCCTCTCCCCCCAGGCCTTCTCTCCCTCCACCCCCAAAACTACCCCTCTCCATCCCTCCCTCCCTCCCTTCCCCCCCCCCCACTCTCCCCAGGCTCTCTCTCCCTCTTCCAGGCCCTCTCCACCCAACCCTGGACCTTCCCCACCCAGACTCCTACCCCCCCCACCCCCCTCATGCTTTACCCCCTCTCACCCCCCCCACCCCCCCACCTCCCTCACCCCGGGCCCACACTCTCTCTCCCTTTCCCCCAGGCCCTCTCCTCACCCCACCAACCCCAGGCCCTCTCCTCACCCCACCACCCCAGGCCCTCTCCTCACCCCCCCAACCCCAGGCCCTCTCCTCACCCCCCCAACCCCAGGCCCTCTCCTCACCCCCCCAACCCAGGCCCTCTCCTCACCCCCCCCCACCCAGGCCCTCTCCTCACCCCCCCCAACCCCAGGCCTCTCCTCACCCCCCAACCCCAGGCCCTCTCCTCACCCCCCAACCCCAGGCCCTCTCCTCACCCCCCCCAACCCCAGGCCCTCTCCTCACCCCCCCAACCCCAGGCCCTCTCCTCACCCCCCCAACCCCAGGCCCTCTCCTCACCCCCCCAACCCCAGGCCCTCTCCTCACCCCCCCAACCCCAGGCCCTCTCCTCACCCCCCCAACCCCAGGCCCTCTCCTCACCCCCCCCAACCCCAGGCCCTCTCCTCACCCCCCCAACCCCAGGCCCTCTCCTCACCCCCCCCAACCCCAGGCCCTCTCCTCACCCCCCCAACCCCAGGCCCTCTCCTCACCCCCCCCAACCCCAGGCCCTCTCCTCACCCCCCCAACCCCAGGCCTCTCCTCACCCCCCAACCCCAGGCCCTCTCCTCAATCCCCAACCCCAGGCCCTCTCCTCAATCCCCCCAACCCCAGGCCCTCTCTTCCCCCCATAGGTCCCTCCTCCCCCAGGCACTCCCCCCCAGAACCTCTCTCCCCCAGACCCTCTACACACCGGCCCTCCCTCTCTCCCGCCCCCAGGACCCCCCACACACCCTCTCCCCCCCAGGCCCTCCACCCCCGGCCCTCCCCAGACCCTCTCCCCCCCACAGACCCTCTCCCCCCCACAGGCCCTCTCCCCCCACAGGCCCTCCCCAGACCTCCCCCCCCCCTAACCCTCTCTCCCCCCCCACAGACCCTCCCCCCCCCTAACCCTCTCTCCCCCCCCCACAGACCCTCCCCCCCCGCCCCCCGGCCCTCTCTCCCAGCCCCCGTCTCCCTCTCTCTCCCCCAGTCAGTCAGTCAGTCAGTCCGTCCCTCTCTCTCCCTCCAGAGCCTCCCCCCAGCCCCCCAGCCCCCCAGGCCCCCCGGGCCCCCGGGGGGGGCTCCTCACCAGGTTGTCCGGCTCCTCCTCTCCGCCCTCCGGCCGGGCCGAGCTCCAGTTGTCCTCGGCCCCTTTCCCCTCGCTCCGCTTGGACACCTGCCTCTTGTTCCACAGGTACACGGCCCCGGCTCCCAGCAGGATGGGGGCCCCGATGGCCAGCGCCAGCTGCCAGCGGCTCAGGCCGGTGCCAGTCTGCGAGTCCAAGGGCTTGGAGGCCGCCATCGTGAAGCCGCCTCAGCCAAGAGAGAAGCAGAGGTCAGGCAGCGCGCCGCGCCTGCTCACCCACAGCGCCACCACCGGCGGGAGGTCAGAGCACAGGGACCACACCGGGCCACACCAGGCACTGCACCGCACCAGGCGCTGCGCCACACCTGGTCATACCAGGGACTGCACCGCACCAGGCCATACCAGGCACTGCACCACACCAGGCCATACCAGGCACTGCACCACACCAGGCGCTGCACCACACCAGGGACTGCACCACACCAGGCACTGCACCGCACCAGGCGCTGCGCCACACCAGGCCATACCAGGCACTGCACCACACCAGGCGCTGCACCACACCTGGTCATACCAGGCACTGCACCACACCAGGCACTGCACCACACCTGGTCATACCAGGCACTGCACCCCACCAGGCCATACCAGGGACTGCACCGCACCAGGCACTGCACCCCACCTGGCCATACCAGGCACTGCACCACACCAGGCCATACCAGGGACTGCACCGCACCAGGCCATACCAGGCACTGCGCCACACCTGGTCATACCAGGGACTGCACCACACCAGGCGCTGCACCACACCTGGTCATACCAGGCACTGCACCACACCAGGCACTGCACCACACCTGGTCATACCAGGCACCGCACCACACCTGGTCATACCAGGGACTGCACCACACCAGGCACTGCACCACACCAGGCCATACCAGGGACTGCACCGCACCAGGCGCTGCACCACACCTGGTCATACCAGGCACTGCACCAGACCAGGCCATACCAGCCACTGCACCACACCAGGCCATACCAGGCACTGCACCACACCTGGTCATACCAGGCACTGCACCGCACCAGGCACTGCACCACACCTGGCCATACCAGGCACTGCACCACACCTGGCCATACCGAGCACTGCACCACACCTGGCCATACCGGGCACTGCACCACACCAGGCCATACCAGGGACTGCACCACACCAGGCACTGCACCACACCAGGCCGTACCAGGCACTGCAGCACACCAGGCCATACCAGGCACTGCACCACACCAGGCCAGGACAGATACTGCATGTCTATAAAAGAAAAAGGTATCCAGGACAACAGTCCCCCAGATCAATGGTCATTCACGTCACTGCTGGTTGAGTTTAATCTTTTCGCCCACAATATATAGTCAATTCACTTCACAGTATATTCTGTGAAGCGCTTTGAGGCATCTCAATGATGTGAGAAGGCGCTATATCAAATGAAATATTATTACTATCTGCTGGCTGCTGCAATTACAACAACAAGATCACATTTGTATAGCGCCTTTCACGTCGGGAGGATGTCCCAAGGCGCTAGACAGAGTACAGCAGTTCAGACCCGAGTTAGGGTCGGAGGGGGTAGGGAGGGCAGGGGAAGGGAGTGGCCGATGTAATGGTCGAAGAGGAGGGTCTTGAGGCGGGACTTGAAGGAGGCCAAGGAAGGGGCGAGGAGGAGTGATTGGGGGATGGAATTCCAGAGGTTGGAGGCAGAGTGGCTGAATGCTCTCCCGCCAATGGTGGGGCGGGTGGGTTGGGAGACGTGGAGCAGGACAGAGCCGGCTGAGTGGAAGGAGTGGGCAGGATGGTAGGGAGTTAGGAGGTCGCAGAGGTAGGGTGGGGCGAGGCCATGGAGGGCTTTGTAGGTGAGGATCAGGATCTTGAACTGATCCTCTGAAGGATAGGGAGCCAATGGAGTTGTGCGAGAATGTGGGTGATGGGTTCACGGAATTTGGTGCAGGAGAGGACACGGGCTGCAGAGTTCTGGATTATCTGCAGCTGTGGAGGGAGGAGTTGGGAAGGCCAACAAGCAGGGAGTTTGCATAGTCGAGCCTGGAGGTGATGAAGGCATGAACAAGAGTTTCAGTGCCCTGAGGGGTGAGGTAGTGGTGGAGACGGGCGATATTACAGAGGTTAGAGAAGGCAGAGTGGGTCATGGCTTGGATGTGGGGGAGAAAGGACAATTGAGGGTTGAACAAGACACCGAGGTTCCTGACTGGCGGTGAGTTGTAGTGTGCAACCATGGAGGTTGATGCTGCCAGAGCCTGAGATGCTAAGGCGCTGGCGCGAGCCAATCAGGAGGGCCTCAGTCTTGTTCGCATTCAACTGTAGGAAATGTTCAACAGCCATTCTGCCAGGAGGCAGAAAGATAGAGTTGGGTGTCATTGCATACATGTGGAAGTTGAGCTAATTACCTACAAATATACAGTAACTATACTAAAAAGCAATTACTTATGAAGTTCTTTGAGACATGACGATGTCCTAGAGCAACAACAACTTGCATTTATGTAGCGCCCCTCATTCCAGGATAGTTTCTCAGATTGCTTGGCCAAGGCACTATATCAAATGCAAGAAGCTTTCTGATTAGTGTTTAATGATATGCACACTTGCCATTTTTTGAATATGGGACATTCAGCTGCCCACTTTGGAAGGTTGTGTGATTCTTCATTTGCTCCTGTGATGCCAAGGACAGTGACAAGGTTGGAAGCAAAACCTTTAATTGAAAAAGGCAGGACTTTTGACTTTTGAGCCTGGAGCCTGTCTCTGAATGTTTCTCTTCTTCATTCAGGTATTCATGCATTAATATATTATGATACAAACTCATTGGTTGTTGGCTTCCACAACTCCTTCTACAGGCTGCAGATCATCCAGAACTCTGCAGCCCGTGTCCTCTCCCGCACCAGGCTCTGCAACCCTATCACCCCCATCTTTGCCTAACTCTACCGGCTTCCCATTACACAGAGGATACAGTTCAAGATCCTGGTCCTCACCTTCAAAACCCTCCACAGTCTTGCTCCCTGCTACCTCTGCAACCTCCTTACTCCCTACCATCCTGCTCGCCCCCTCCGCTCAGCAGGCTCAGGGCTGCTTCACGTCCCCCGCCCTGCTCGCCCCACTATTGCTGGACGGGCCTTCCGCCACTCTGCCCCCACCCTCTGGAACTCCATCTCGCAGTTCCTCCATCTTGCCACCTCCCTTGCCACCTTCAAGACCCATCTCAGGACTCTCCTCTTCGACCATGCTTCGATCTCCCTGCTTCCCCCTCCCCCCACTCGCCCTCCACCCTCCCTGACCCCAACACCCAGCTCGGGTCCGTAACTCTGTCTGTCCAGCGCCTTGGGACGTCCTTGACAAATGTAATTTTGTTGTTGTTGCTGTTGCCTGCTTTTAGTACATTTATAATAATAATAATAATCCTTGCATTTGATATAGCGCTTTTTATGTCTTCTAGACGTCTCAAAGCACTTCACAGAATAAGCTGTAAAGTGAATTGACTATATATCTGTGGGCGAAATGCAGCAGCCAATTGCGCACAGTAGTGTCCCACAAACAGTCATGGATTGTAAGTGACTAATTTTATTATTGTTTTTTTTGAGGGATTATCATCAATCGTGTGGAGTAAGGAAACTTGCCCAAGGTTTCACCCTGCCGGGAACCGAACCTAGGTTTACTCGCTTGCAAGGCCGAGTGCTCTAACCACTGAGCTACAGGACACCTTACATACTGTACTTTTATTCAAATTGACATTTTTATACATTTGCTTTGCAATAACATGACCAGTAGGCCTTTTGATTTACCCTTACAAGTGAGACAGGTATGGACAAATATTTAGTTTCTTCTGAAATATTTTACATTGTTTACGTGTGTTTTACAGTAAACTTGTGTCTTTTACTTTTAATAATGAATGATTTTGTTGTTTTGCAGTTACGAGGAATTTGTTTACAACACTGTCAATAGTCTTTATATTGTTTTTATTTTAGAAAAATGCTTCTGATGAGGCAATATTACATCTCAGTGTTTTGTTGGAGAATGTAGTTATTGCTTTAACCCACTCGACCCAGCAGGGAGCAGTGCTGTGCCTTATCACCAATGGTAAAAGTCATGAAATGTTTAAAGATGCTTTGGGCCATTCCTGCAAATGCAATTGATTCACCTTAAAAATATGTAGCATTTGCAATATTTTTGATCCAAGTGATTCCTCTTAAGAAGTCAAGAGATGCACTCTATTCACAGCCACTTGAAGTGCATTTGTTATGTGAAATTGAAGCTAATGTGCTATTTGACCAATTTAATGGTTCATCGTGAGCTGTGTGTTACTTTAAAACAAGAAAAATATAATTCCACCAGGGTTTTGCTAAACACAGAGCAAGCCCAGAGTAAAACTGCAATGTTGCTGTAATATTTACAGCTGAGTCGTTAGGGCTAGAAATTTAAACTATTCCACGGCAAAATATTAAGATGTATATCCTCAACTTGTTTTAAGTACAGAAGTTCCATTGACCATTACTCTAAAATGTCGACCCTATGAAAGTTTATGTTGAAATTGATTTCAAAGAGGTATTTAAAAATAATCTTTGCATTTGATCTGTCAATTGTTGAGATGTCTCAAAGAGCTGCACAGCGTATACTGTAAAGTGGTCTGATTGTATTTTGTGGGCAAATGCAGCAGGTTATTTGTCCCACAAACAGCCATAGAGTGCATCACCAATTTAACTTGGTGACTTGTTGGCCAGGACAGTGGGAGAAAGTCCCTTCCATTTGAACCATCCGCATCATATATTTTATCAAATAATTGATTTCAAGAGGCTAATTTGCTCTTTTGCTAATCCTAGGGACACAAAGGCAAATTTCAGCAAAAAAATGATTTTGGCTAACTTTGCACAGACTGGGATTCAAAACTATAACTTTTTTTTCTAAACTTTCTTTGCACATACTTGGGCAATATCTTTACTTACTAGACCATTGTGGGAGTTGAAATACTACTTTTTTCACATTCAGAAAGGCAAGATTTAATAGCAATTTGGTGCCACAGAAACATATCCAAGCCCAATAGGCTCTGTCAAGGAGACCAACGAGCCACCCGGCTGATCCCTACAGCTAGCTGGATGATCCATGAGTAAGTACAATCTTGAAAGAACCCGTTCAGAGATATGCTTCATAAGATACTTGATAAAGAGCAACGAGGAAAGGTAGTGCAGACCAGGACTCAGAAATCAATTAAGAAATTGAGTCATGCTATATAAAGAGGTGGTAAGGTTGGTAATTTGGTATTCATGGCTGTTGGTGGGACATTGCTGTGTGCAAACTAATTGCTACGTTTTACCCACAAAACACACAATCAATCCTTTTAACCTGTGAAGCACTTTGAGACATCTCAACAGCGTAGTAAGGTGCTATATCAAATTCAAGGAATATTATTATTATTTTAGAAAGATCAGATCAAATGGTCTGAAAGGTTTTCTTTGGCCAATCTTTTTGATAGCATGGCTATGCGACTTATGAGTTATTTACTCTTGCTCTTGTTTCAAAGATACTCATTTATATCGATGCATATTCCACTAAGACTTGAATCCAGTGATCGCTCTCTCTTCAGTTTCCCTGTACAAGAGTCCTGGAGAGTATTTTTTGGAGCACTCGCTTCGCAAACGAGAGGACCCAGGTTCGAATCCCGGGTGGGGCGAAACCTTAGGCAAGTTTCTTTACTCCATATGCCTCTGTTTACCTAGCAGTAAGTAGGAACACAGTTGTTAGTCGATTGGTGGATGCTTTCTGGGAGTAAAAATTCCTTAAAACAAACATTTGGTCATTCAATCCACGACTGTTTATGGAACACTGCTGTGTGCAATTCGCTGCCGCGTTTCGTCCACAAAATATACAGTCAATTCACTTTACAGTATATTCTGTGAAGCGCTTTGAGACGTCCCAACGATGTGATAAGGCGCTATATCGTGGAGTCCTGTAGCTCAGTGGTTAGAGCACTCGCTTTGCAAGTGAGAGACCTGAGTTCAATTCCAGGCAGAGGGCGAAACCTTGGGCAAGTTTCCTTACTCCACACAGAGCCTAATAATAATCCCTCCAAAACCAAAAACAATAATTAAATTGGTCATTTTCAATCTACGACTGTTTGTGGGACATTGCTGTGCGCAGTTGGCTGCCGCGTTCGCCCACAAATATACAGTCAATTCACTTTACAGTGTGTTCTGTGAAGCGCTTTGGGACGTCCTCCTGACGTGAAAAGCGCTATATCAAATGCAAGGATTATTATTATTATTATTATTATTATTATTATATCAAATGCAAGAATTATTATTATATTACAAAATATGTTTGTACAGTAATACTATCACACAGACGTTTCCAATTGTGTAACTTCTGTTTAGACAACAGGAGTTGGTGGCTCCAGTATTGTGTGCGATCTTTACATTGTGCTGCGTTGAAGTATTTCTCGCATGATCGAATGAAATGACTGACAGCCAATCATTACTTCTGCACCAGAAGATCTTACAACTTGGAGAATTTTGCTTTGCAGTAAGCTTCTGTGGTGGTAAGGACTGTGTTTGACCTCTCCAGTTTCTCTGCGCCGCCCTCCAAAAAAATATCCCATTTGGAAATCTATGAGAAAAGTCCATCATTAAATTAAGGCATTTTTAAAATTATAAATCAGCTCTGGTTTAATAAACGAAAATTACATTTGACGCAGAACAAAATGTACAGTCAATTCATTTTGCAGCATATTCTGTAAATCACTTTGAGACGTCTCGAAGACATGATAAGGCACTATATCAAATGCAAGGATTATTATTATTATTACTATTTTATGTTGAAATTCACAGAATTGATTCAATATAAAGTGTGGTGACTGTGTACTTAGTAGGTGAACGTGACAGCCGATAAATAATAATAATCCTTGCATTTGGTATTGCGCCTTTCACATCACAAGGATACCTCAAAGCACTTAACAGGATATACTGTAAAGTGCAGTGACTGTGTTTGATGGCCAAACACAGCAGTCAATTTGCGCATAGCAATGTCCCACAAATAGCCATGAAGTGAATGACCAATTTTGTTCAGTTTGCTTCAGTTTGCCAGAGAATGCCAGAGAAGATTGGAGGGTGAGGCAATTTTTAACTTAAGATCTTAAGGTGAGTATCTATTGAACCTTATTGGCAGAGGTCTGGGGCCAGGCACCTGGGAGGAAAAAACAGACCACATTTGGAATAATAGTAACATAAATAACATTGTCAAACTATTATGAACTTTAAAAATTGCACAATTAAATTAAGTCCATATTTTAATTAAACACAGATGGCTCTTATGATTCTTTCAGTGTTCTATATAGAATTAAATTTAGTTGAAAGTGCTTTCTGGGTACAGCAGGTAGTGCAGATATACAGATAAAAATCTGGATTGAGTTTTTTTTTACTGGGCATTTACATAAATGCAAAGCAGTGACAAGACTTAAGCAAATCTGGAAGCTATTGTGGAGGTGATAAAATGTGGAAGTGAGAAAACACGGAGTGAGAAAGAGCCATTCAAGTCTACTCCTTGCACAGCCCACAAAACCTACCCCAACTATGGACCTCTCTCCTATAATTCTGGAAGAAATCTGCATAGATATTGCTGGAACCCCAAAGGTAAGCAAACCATATCTCCACTTTCCATCCCTGGCCGCATTTTTCATAAAGTTTATTTTCCTTATTGTCTTTCCCCACTGTCAGCCTTTTGTATGGTTAAGGGCAGTTTCGTGAGATATTCTGCTATACTAACTTTGTGTAGGAAGCCTTCCATCGAGCACCTGTAAGATATACATAGCACCTAAAGCATCAAAGCGTGTCAAAGCATTTTACAATGAATTGCTGCCCAGTATCTGTATATTTGTGGGCAAATGTGGCAGTTGCAGAGCAAATGACCAATTTATCTAGCCAAGAGAAACTATTTTTTGGGTAGTCATAGGGTTTTGAATGCCCACTTGAACAGACATACAGGACCACAGTTTAATGTCTCATCTGAAGGATAATACTTTTGACGATGCAACGTTCCCACAGTCTTGAACTTAAGTGTCAGTCCAGACCACAATTTCAAGCGTGGCTTGAACTCAAACATTCTGAACAAGAGATAAGAGTTCTTCCAACTGATCCAAGCTGGCGTCCTTGAAAGATTCACTGGAATTGCTCACATGAGTTTGCCATTTTACAGTTAAATCTGGTGGTCGCGGTGCTAATTTGTCATCTGCAGAGGATAGAATAATAATAATAATCCTTACTTTTGGTATAGCGCCTTCCAGTTCGGGAGGATTTGCTGTAAAGTGTATTGACGTATGTGTTTTGTAGGTGAATTCTAGTTTCTATTTTTTCCTGCTTACTGAGGCACTTAATGTAATCGTTGTTGTTCTGCATTAATTAATAGCTGAGACTCGTTGCCAGTGACAAGCTGAATCCCGTAGATCCAAAAGCAGTGGTGGAATCATCTCCCACGTTATCAGGACACCTGACAGTCTGCAAAAAGGGCCCTTCCGGTACAAATCTATTTATAATAATAATAATCCTTGCATTTGATATAGCGCCTTATCAAGGCGGTGAGACAACAACAACAACTTGCATTTATATAGCGTCCCTCACGCAGGATAGTGTCCCAGAGCACTTCACGGAATACACTGTAAAGTGAATTGACTGTATATTTTGTGCGCAAAACGTGTGCTGCAGCATCATTCAGAATGTGGGAGAAGAAAATAAGATAAATAAAATAAATGAGATGTCAGCCACCTGGTGTATGAGGCTGTCTCAAAAGCGCTTGTTTTCTCACTTCAGCCACTTAGCATCCACTGTGCCACATTCTGCCTGTCACCGTCTCTACTGCATTTCCCAAACCTCTGACCCTCCAACAAATTGAGACACTCACAGCCCAGGGGCATGTACTAGGGATGATGCTTCACAATTATTGACAGTTAAATGCAGATCACATTGGAAGGCCTGAAATGTGTATTGTGTTTGTTTCCTAACCATCCTTCAGGCCATGTGTCACAGCCCCTCTGTAATGGAAAGATGAAAAGCCCCTGCAATAAATAGATTACAAGGGATTTGCTTATATAAAGACTTAGTCAGCTGCAGTAACGTATTTTGGAGTTTGCTTACAAAGGACACATTTGCGAGGCTTCACTATTTATTACTATTCCCCCCCACACACTTCCCGGAGTAAGTTGTACTCTCACACTTTAAGCATGGAACAAGAGGAAGATGAGGATATCGCATTCGCCAAGTGGATGAGCAGCTTTTGGGGCCACAACTTGGTGGATGAAGGGGGCAAGGATGTGCGAGCTCGGCAGAGACGACAGTCAAAAGCCCCAGCTGAAAGGAGAGCCTCTTGTCCGGTGAGAAGAATGAAAGAGAAAGTTAGCTTCTAGTGTTCATTATATTCCTCATGAGAAATAAATGAAAAGAACCAGAGAAAATGGTCTGCAATTGAAGGGTGGCGGGGGGTGTTAAATTCAAAACAAATCTGCAGAAACACTATTTCGGTGAGCGAGTTGTAAATGTTTGGAACGGGCTCCCTAGGGAGACGGTGGAAGCAGAAAGTGTTGATTCTTTCGACAACAAGTTAAGCTAGATTTCTTTTAGGAAATAATATCATGGGATACAGTATGTAGTTTGGGATACGATGTGTGTGTGCGACTGGCAGGATGGTGGAAGGTGAACTGGGTCCACCTTGGTCTTCTTTCATCTAGGAACTCTTATGTTCTTATGGTCTTAACTTCACAGCTCTCCAAGTCAAAGTTATATCATCTGCACGAATGTTATCACTTTAACGCTCAAAAGTGTCAGCAGATAGTGATTTAGATTCATTTATAGTGAACACAAAATAAGGATTTATTATCAATTGAGTCCTAATTTTGTTATTTTATCAATTCCACCAATATATTTCATTTTATAGATACTTTTAGTCTCTTGCTGTGCCATCGTTGTTCTGTAGCATATTGGTTAGAGCACTCCTCTCGCAAGCGAGAGGACCCGGGTTCGATTCCCGGGCAGGACGAAACCTTTGGGAAGTTTCCTTACTCCACTCGCCTCTATTTATTTTGCAGTAAGTAAACATATGTTCGTCGGTTGGCGGATTGCTATTCCGGGGGTAATAATCCCATAAAAAAATGTCCATGACTGTTTGTGGGACACTTCTGTGTGCAATTGGCTGCCGCGTTTTGCCCATAAAATGTACAGACAATTCACTTATGTTCTGTGAATGTATGTTCTGTGAAGCGCTTTGAGACTTCTCAACGACATGACCAGATGCTATATCAAAAATGCAAGGATTATTAACAGAGAAGGTTTATCTATCCCAGTGCCAGGGAAGCCAGGGATCTGCTCCTTGTTTTATGTTGTATTGTTCTTCAAAATCCCAAAAGGAGAACTCACACCAAGTTGACTCTTCACTGATGAAAATCTTTTCATTTAGAAACGTTCTCCATGAAATCCCCAAATTACCGTAGTTGCGATGGGATGTTGTTCAAAACTGACAGTGAAATTGGTCTTGTTGGTTTAAGCATTTGGTTTAACATCACTGCTAGAATCTAATTATTACCAAATGTCATACTGTATTCATGATTTGTTTTGTAAAAACAATGTTCCTTGCCTCCTTACCATAAATATAACACAGTGTCAATTTAGATCAATTAGTTTCCTACACGTTCAACAAAAAGCAATCCTTTCAATAACGGATCTGGTGTGAAAACAATGTCACAAATTGACCTGTCATCTGTAATTAACTCAGATTTTAAGTGAATCCCAATGACACGTAGTTGAAATGTGACAGAATCAATAGTGGATGACATTGTTTTACTGATGATAAAATAACTGATTAACTCGCGACCATCACTCCTGGGGAAAGAGGGTGGGGAGATAATGGAGGTCTCCTTATTGTTGAGCTGCCTTTACGTGCAGGTGGTGTACATATATGGAACTCTCAGTCTGGTTCAGATGCTCTTAAGCAAGTTGATGGCTTTCCCCAGGTGCAAGACGCCCTGAAAAAAATCAATGATTTGGTTTGCCAGAATCGTTAGTTAAGCCATAAGTTTCCATAAACATGCCTTCCATTTAACATTTGCCAGCCCAAATATTGCCGTTTAAAAATGGACTTCAAAGCGAATTGACTGTATATTTTGTGGGCGAAACACGGCAGCCAATTGCGCACAGCAGTGTCCCACAAACAGCCGTAGATTGAGGTTGACACTGTTTGGCTGGTTAAACTCCAACAATTCCTCAACGCACATTCTGGGGTGCCTAAACCTTGGCTCTCGCCAACCTTTGTTAAAAGTATCAGATTTGATGAGCAGGATGCCTTTCTGGGGGTTACAGTCATTTGGAGAGTAAGTACTGTAAATGGAAATTTCCATGCTAATGTGGGGACTCAGCAATTAGTTTTGAATGAGTATGGTGATAGTTTCTGCATCTGCTGGTTGACCAAACAGCCCTCCCACCCCCCGCCCCCACCCCTCAAAAGAAGAGTTATTTGTCCCAAGACACAGAATTAATAGTAGATTGAAATTTAATGAGCTGGATAAAATAATTCCCGACTGAATCCAAATTAAGCTCATAACGGTGGATTCTTTAACCACTGACTTTAAAATTTAGATTAAACACATATTTTAATTTTTTTTTAGTGATAAGGCTTGACAATACCTGCTTTTTCTTGGGGTGGGTGGGGGGGTGCAATTGAACTTTCTTTTCAAATCAGGATGGTTCCTCTGTTAATCTGATGACTCGGTGATTGAATTATCCAAAAATAAGTCATTTGAAATACGTGGCATTGAATCTATCAGAGCCAGATCCGACAGGAGTGGGTCATGTACACATACTGGTGACATTTCATTGCAAACAAGAAAAATATACAGCAGCGACTTGCATTTATATAGCACACCTCATACAGGGTAGCATCCCAGAGCGCTTGACAGTGGCGGAGCACAACACCAAGCTGAGGGGAGGTGACCGTAAGCATGGTCAAAGCAGAAGGTCTTCAGGTGCAATCTGAAGATGGGGAAGGAGGGGGCAAGGTGGAGGGATTGAGGGAGAGTGTTCCAGATTTTCGGGGGGCGTTGTGGTTGAAAGCGCGGCCACAGATGGTGGAATGGAGGGCAAGAGGTGAAAGGTAGCACATTTACGTTGAACAGGTCATTTCTTAGGTGAAACCGATTTGTCTAATATTTGTTTTTGATCTGCAGTAAAACGAATCTGGTTTTGTAAGACTCTCTTTCCCTTTAAAATAACCTGAACAGCCAGTTTAGTTGGTATTGACTGGTTAAAAGAGCACTTTTGCATCATACTTTGCTATTGTGCTATATTACATTTTAGAATCCCACTCTCAAGATCAAAAGCCAAGGGCCAAGGGCTTTGGTTTGAAGGGTGAGATGTATGTGCCTCTAAGCTTTTGCATTGGATTACTGTGGATTTGCCAGCCTTAACCATGTGTGAAAGACCCTGCTTACCAACCCTCTGTGAAGTGGATAAATTTTAGATATTGTGCTCATTTTATCTACCCTGAAGTGAAACTTATTGATCGCTTTTGACCAAGTTTTTTTGGTCAACGTGATAATTATCACTGGTGTTAACATCACATACTCCACTTTCCCACACTTTCTCCCAATTTCTTTTTTCAGCGTGCATCCAGCCCACCTGGAACAAGACACTATTTTAAACGAGATTTCTGGCTAAATAGGTATTATTTCTGCAACATGCTGTATTTTAATTCAGTGCAGGGACATAATTTCTCAAGAATGTTCTTCCGTTCCTTTATCAGGCTCAGCTCTCAGCCGTGCGCATGAGTCAAATGCATTCAACCACCAAAGTGCCAACACCTGTTTCCCTGAAAGGTTTCAAAGAAATCCGCAGAGACAAAGAAGACAGAGGACATCACCTCATGAAGGCAAAGACCAATGAGCCAACACTAAACTCACAGGAAGAAAATAAGCGCTCTTCTGTCCAGACATTTACAAGCACGTTTCAGAAACATCTGAAATTTCGAAGCAGGAATACACTTTCTCTGGTAGGTGCAGGTTTTTTTTTGCAAAACGTTAATAATGATAATAGTCCTTGCATTTCATGCAGCGCCTTATCACGTTGTTGAGATGTGCCAAAGCATCCCACAAAATATACTGCAAAGTGAATTGACTGTGTCCCTTGTGGACAAAATGTGGCAACTAACTGCGCCACAAACAGTTGTGGATTGAGTGATTTATTATTTATTTTAGAGGGATATTACCCCTGGAATCGACTAACAACCGGGTTCCTACTTACTGTTAGGTGAACAGAGGCGTGTGGAGTAAGGAAACTTGCCCAACGTTCTCCCCACCAATCGAACCTGGGTCCTCTCGCTTGCGAGGTGAGTGCTCAAACCACTAAGCTACAGGACTCCATATTTTTCCCTAATTTCACTGGTTGGAAACTAGTTATTTTTTTTTACTTTTCAATGCTAATATCTGAACATGTTTGGTTTCAATATGCCAAAAACCCTATTGAATTGCAATGATGCTTTCACAGAAATCTGTATGCTTATGAGATGTAACTGACTAACGCAAAACTGTGCTAAGCAAATGAACATCATCTGGGATGCAATTGGCGTAAAACCAAAATACAATATTAGGTCAGTGAAAGGATTATGTAGAATTGCATAGAATCTACAGCACTGAAACTTACAGTTCAGCCCAAATAGTCTCTGCCATTGTTCATATACTCAACATGAACAACACTCAACACTCCCCACTCCTCACCCCATACCCTTCTATTCCCTTCTCACTCATGTATGCACAAATTGCCTTTTGAATGTTTTGGTGTTTTCTGCTTCAACCATTGACTTCTGCAAGTGAATTCCACTGATATGATAGAATAATAACAATAATAAACCTTGATTTGGTAAAGCACGCTATCAATTCGGAAGGACCTCTCAAAACGCTTCACAATGGAGAAATTGTATATTTGTCGGCAAACACGTCAGCACAATTGCGTACAGCAATGTCACACGAACAGCCATGAAACGAGTGACAAATTTTATCTGGAAGATTGTTGGCCCGAGCACCAGGAGAAACCCCCTTCTCTTTTCGAATAGTGGCATGGGATCTTTAACATCCACCTGAGCAGGCAGACAGGACCTCGGTTTAATGTCTCATCTGAAGGACAGCGCGACTGATATGAGAGAACATTAAAAATGTGAGAATTGTGTGTCAGGCTGGAGGTAAACAATATCACTGCCCCTCTGGGACTTACGTCTTGATTCCAGTTGCCAGTAATCTGGGATTCCCACGGGTGTCTCTCCGGAACACTGCCAAACAGATGGAAATCTAGGCATTTTACTGCCGGGGAAATGGAAACATAACATTCCCCTCAACACTGTCAGGAATAAAACACAGACAACCCCTCCCTCTTGTCCATTTTGTTGTTTTGGTCAGTCACCCATTACCATGCTTAAACCAGATTGAGAATTCCAAATATGCGTGCCACCTATGCCTGGAAATTTTGCTGTGTCAATGAGTGTGTGTCACACTCTCTCCCGGGAGGGACGCACTTTGCTTACCTAATTCTGGAGAGTATTAGGCACAAGTTTGCAAGAGCCGAGGCTCCTCGGAGTATGTGTTGTGGTAACTGCTGGTGTTTAACCAGCTAAAAAACGTGTAACTGGCCACTATGAGCACTGTCTAGTAAGCTTCTCACTGTTTGTCCAGCCAGGACTGTTTTACCTGGTAGAATTAATAGGTAATAATCCCTGCCCATCGTTCCCTTCCCTCCAAAGACACTAGATGGATGATCGGGCTATAAAGCTACAACTACTCAACTCAAAATTTCTTATTTGTGAAACCCTGAATTGCTTTTGCAAAATAAAGAGAGTACTATTATGCATAAACCTTTACTTGGAGTACTGTAGCTTAATGGTTATAGTGCTCGCCTCGCAAGTGAGAGACCGGGATTCGATTTCCAACAGGGTGAAAAGTTTGGCAAGTTTCATTACTCCACACGCCTCTGTTTACCTGGCAGTAAGTAGGAACCTGGTTGTTTGTCGATTGGCGGATTGCATTTCCGGGGGTAATAATTTCTTCAAAAAATAATAATAATTTGGTCACTCAAACCACGATTGTTTGTGAGACACTGCTGTGTGCAATTGGCTGCCGCGTTTCACCCACAAAATATATGCAGTCAATTCACTTTAAAGTACACTTCACTGTGAAGCGGTTTGAGACATCTCGAAGATGTGATAAGGTGTTCTATTAAACACAAGGATTATTTATTATTATTTCTTGATGTACTGTATAACCATATTTTAATTGTTGGTGTTTTGCTGTATCTCTTGTATGTCCAACGATGTTTGTAAATGGCAGGATAAAGAGGAAGACCCATGCGTTATATGTCATGACGATCTCAGAACTGGATATGTGCGGGAGCTTCATTGCATGCACAGATTTCATAAGGAGGTACAGAAACTCTCTTTTAAATAAGGGCATGTTTTAGCAAATTAGATTTATTTTAGGAAGTAACATTGTGGGATACAGTATACAGTTTGGCACATGACATGTGCATGCGTCTGCCAAGAGGGTTGAAGGCAAACTGAGTGGACCTCGGTCTTCTTTCGTCTATTCTTATGTTCTTGTGTTGTTCGATCCGTCACACTCTAATCTTCTCTAAACACTGCTCAGACATGCAAAACACCCCAGCATACAAGTGACACATTCATTCCACCTTTGTACTCTTCTAAATAATAGGAATGTAACTCACGCAGGGATGCAAATTATAAGTTTAGTACTGAAAAGGTAACTGTAAATTAGAGGGCGGGTCTCAACTCAGACAGATGATTTATGGCGTTTTCCCTTAGGCAATATCATATTAATAGTCCGTGGATAATTTCTGCTAAATTCATCAACAATCACCATACTTAAAAGTGATTACCCTGAAGGGCTTTGAGATGTTCTCAACCTTATAGGTGCTCTCTTTCTCTCTCTCTCTCTCTCTCTCTCTCTCTATATATATATATACATATGTATATATATATACTGTGATGTTTATTTGGCAATTTACCACTTAAAGTTCACCTACAAAAATACACTTTATATCCTCTGAAGTACTTTGAGCCGCCCTCCTGACATGAAAGGCGCTAAACCAAATGTAAGGATTATTATTATTACTCAGTTAAGTAATGTAGCAGTTTAATCTTTATTATAATAATAATCTTTGCATTTGTCATCCTGAAACTCTGGAACACTCTCCTTCAAGCCCTCTGCCTTGCCCCCTCCTTCTCCATTTTCAGGTTGCGCCTCAAGGTCTTCCGCTTCGACCGTGGTTATGATCATCCCCCCTCCCCCCTGGCTCAGGGTCTTGCTCCGCCACTGTTAAGTGCTTTGGAACCCTGCCCTGCATGAGGGGCACTATATAAATGCAAGTTGTTGTTGTTGTTGATTTTACTACCTTATCACATCGTCAAAACATCTCAAACATTTTTACGGTGAGTGCAGTGACTGTGTATTTTGTAGGTGAACATGTATTTTGTTGTTATATAACTGAAAGAGAAACATCTATTGGTAATCTGCATGTTAACCATGCAGATGTAGTACATTATTTGATTAATGCTCCCTATCACTATAAATTGTGATTTATACTGAAATTAGATCCTTCATAAAGAATGAGGGGAGAGAAAGGAGAAAGAACATGAGAGAGAAGAGCAACACTCCCCCAAAATAGAAAGGAAAAGAGATCACGGTAAATGCCCCTAAAGGAGAATGTATTGAATTTAAACCTATTGATCATCTGTACCGAACATTAAATAACAATGATTATTGACTTGATCTTATTCAAGAGTCTGAGCAGTAGACGATACCACTGCACACCTGAAGCCCCAAGTATTTAGCCTCATGCCAGTAGTCATTTGAGCTTCGCTTTACTCAATGGGTGAGTATGACTAGGATGGGCCACTAAATGAAGTATGTATCAATATGGCTTTGCTGTATATCCAGAGTTAGACAGAAGCCAGCAGAGTCAAGCCCATTCGACAGAGGCACGTGTAATATTACGAGCAATCTTCCATGTAGCAGATGGAAAAGTTCTTAGTATAGGTTCTTTTCGCAGACAAGAGCAGAGCAGAGGAAAGGGGGATCTAATAGAGAGAAAGGTTACGTGAAATAATCTATAGTTATTGATCCTCTGAGGTCTAAAATAAATTTCTTAGCTGGACCTTCTCCGAACAAACACACCTACCCTCAAACTGATGTAGCAGGAAGTTCCTGTTGCAAGCATTTCCTGATGTAGACAGAGCAGGAAGTCTTGTTGCCATCATTTCATCGCCTTCGTGCATTGATTGATTTCATTGATTTAGTTATGTATAAAACAGAATTTGAAGGTTAAAAAGGCTACAGTTTTTTGGATGATTATTCCCAGTACAGGAATTGGCTCCAACAGGAACTTCTTGTCCACAGGTTTGCCATCACCACTCAAGAAGGAAGCATTCATTTGGGCTGCATGCGATTTCTGGTGTCAGCAGCATTACTTGGGTGGACAAAAGCAAAAAGTGAACAAATATGGTATGTGAAATTTCCACTCAACTACAGAAATTTAGGTTTAACTTTTTATATATATATATATATATATAACATAGAGACAGAAAAGTAGGGGGAAATTTTTAAAAAAATATTACTTGCGTAATATTTATTTACGATTTATTCCAATTTTTAACCGAGTATTTATCAAACATTAAGTACTTTGCTTCTTTTCCAGTGCATAGGGATGTGGCTTTGGAAGAAACCGACATGTCCGACATGCCGGGTCAAAGTGAAGATCCCAAACCCTTTCTTCTGGTCTTCACCAAAGAATGAAGATCCCATGACAGCTACCTTCTAGATTGCAGTTCATCTGTGAAACAGCTTTGGGACTTGTCTTTTCTTTTCAATTTCTTTTTTTTTTTGAATCAGACAGTTGCATTGAAGAGGCACCCAATTGGTTACCCCAGTATAGAGCAATGCAAAGTGGTGACTGAGGCACAAGTTAATACAGAGAGAAGCAAAATATTCAGTAGAATTAACCCTTCAAAACTCACACTGGACTCTATTTCTTGCATTCGCCTAGCAAAGCTCAGCCACGACACTTTACAGCGAATCCTGTGAAGTGCTTTGAGATGACCTCCCAATGTAAAAGGCACAGTACCAAATGTTATGTCTTTGTATGCTGATGTAAACCACTTATTTGCCCATTTCCAATGCTTTCTGCAGGCTTTAGTATGAGGATGAGTTTCAATATAAGAGAAGTTGTTTGTGTGTGTAGTTGATGAATGTTTAGTGTTCCACTGAAAACAATCAACGCACAGTTTTACTTTTCATTCAAAAGACATATTTGCACCAGTGTTTAAAAAGCAGCTCATGGCATTGTAAATACGCACCAAGTACATTTATATTTTAAGAAATACCTAATGGATATTAGGAATTCCTAAAAAAATCTGATGAAAGGTCTGATAGTCCTGATCTGGAGAAAGATCTGGAATCCTGTAGCTCAGTGGTTAGAGCACTCGCTTTGCAAGTGAGAGACCTGAGTTCACTTCCAGGCAGGGCAAAACCTTGGGCAAGTTTCCTTACTCCACACGCCTAATAATAATCCCTCCAAAACCAAAAACAATAATAAATTGGTCATTTTCAATCTACGATTGTTTGTGGGACATTGCTGTGCACAATTAGCTGCCGCATTTGCCCACAAAAATTCACTTTACAGAGTGTTCTGTGAAGCGCTTTGGGACGTCCTCCTGACGTGAAAAGCGCTATATCAAATGCAAGGATTATTATTATTATATACCAATCATATATGTTGATCTTCTTTCCCATTACATGCCATGGATGGTAGCTGATTCATATTCAACAGTAAATACAGTGGAATGTCAGGCCTACTTTAACACTGAGTAAGACTATGCAATATAACACGAACACAAAGCAATCTCCCCTTCCATATATTTATGAGATTAAAATCAGGCTCCCTTTTTTGAATGGATAGTGATCAGTACAACATAATTCTATTCCTAAATCTTCCTTGGTCCATCCATTGAATGAATATGAATAATTGTACTAATGTTATATCTGTACACTTGTTTTAATAAATAAAATGGCATGGAACCAAAAAATGTTGACCACACAAAATAAGATTAATAACTAGGATATGAATACATGTGGGTTTCTGCACTATGCACATCACATCCAAGAATATGACACATATTCTTTATGGCACACTCACCAACACAGAAATGATATTTATTTCACCCTATATAAAAAGTTCTTGTTTACGCCATGTGTTTTTTTTAAGAACTCAGAGACTGGCTACAATCGAACCTCACCGTCCGTAATGACCTCCGGTTTAAACGATCCCAACGGCAAGACCCAATTTTTGCATCTCATTGACAGCTAAACATTCTTGGCGACTTCAACTTGCATTTCACCCCCTTTGGCTCTATCTCCACTGACTTCCTCTCTCTCCATGCCTGTCACAACTTCTTCCTCCACATCCACTTTGCCACCCACATTCATGGCCACCAACTCAACCTAATGATTACCCAGGGCCTCAGTATCTCGGACCTCACAATCACCAATAAAGCCATTTCAGATCACCATTTCACTTCCCTTAACTACTCAATTCCTCTCCCCACCGCCACTCAACCCACCTCTATCTCCTACCATCCCTGGAAAAGAATCTCCCCGCGCTCCCTCTCTGCTGCCCTGGAGCCGTCTGAACTCTTCCCCCTTTGGCGGACCTCCCGTAATGATTTATTTGTGGAGTCCTGTAGCTCAGTGGTTAGAGCGCTCGCCTTGCAAGCGAGACACCTGGGTTCAATTCCAGGCAGGTTGAAACCTGGGGCAAGTTTCCTTACGCCACATGCCTAATCCCTCCAAAACAAAACAATAATAAATTTTCATTTTCAATCCACGACTGTTTGTGGGACACTGCTGTGTGCAATTGGTTGATGCGTTTCGTCCACAAATATATAGTCAATTCACTTTACAGCATATTCTGTGAAGCGCTTTGAGACGTCTAGAAGACGTGAAAAGCACTATATCAAATGCAAGGATTATTACTATTATCCTCGGTCACTCTCCCCCACAATTACATAAGAACATAAGAAATAGGAGTAAGAGTAGACCATTTGGCCACTCAAGCCTGCCCCACCATTTAATAAGATCATTGCTGATCTTCTAACCTAATTCCATTTATCTTCCCTATCCCCATAGCTCTTAATCTGTTTAGTTTTTTAAAATCTATTGATCTCAGTCTTGAATATGTTCAATGACTGAGCATCCACAGCCTTCTGGGATAGAGAATTCCATAAATTCACTACCCTCTGAGTGAAGAAATGTTTTCTCAACTCTGTTCTACAGGGCTGACCTTTAATCCTGAGACTATGACCCCCTAGTTTTAGATTCTCCAACCAGGAAAAACAGTCTTACATTATCTACCCTGTCAAGACCCTTAAGAATCTTATAGGTTTCTTCTATATTCTAGAGAATATAGGCCTAGTCTACTCAACCTCTCCTCATAGGTCCACCCCCTCATCCCAGGAACCAACCTAGTGAACCTACATTGCACCCCCTTTAAGGCGAGTATATCCTTTCTTAGATAAGGAGACCAAAACTGCACAATATTCCAGGTGGGTCTCACTAAGGCCCTATACAATAGACTTTCCTACTCTCTAACCCCTTTGCAATAACGACTAACATGCTATTAGCCTTCCTAATTGCTTGCTGTAACTGCATACTAACTTTCTGTGATTGGTATACAGGGACACCTAAATTCCTCTGAATACTAACACTATCTAGTCTCTTCGCCTCTAGAAAATAATCTGCTTTTCTCTTTTTTCTACCTAGGTGAATAACTTCACACTTTCCCACATTATATTCCATTTGCCACCTTCTTGCCCACTTACTTAACCTGTTTAGATCCCTTTGCATCCTCCTTGTGTCCTCCTCACAACTTACTTTCCCACCTAGCTTTGTATTGTCCGCGAATTTAGATACGTTAAGCTGTATTTCCTCATCTAAGTTATTGATGTACACTGTAAACAGTTGAGGCCAAGCACTGATCCTTGCGGCACTCCACAAGTCACAATCTGTGAAGGACCCGTTTATCTCTACTCTCTGTTTTCTGCCTGTTAACCACTCTTCGATCCATGCTAATATATTACCCTTAATTCCATGAGCCCTAATCTTGTGTAACAACCTTTTATGTGGCATCTTGTCGAATGCCTTTTGAAAATCCAAGTAGACTATATCCATTGGTTCTCCTCATCTAACCTGATAGCTACATCTTCAAAAAACTATAAAGATTTGTTAAACACGATTTCCCTTTCATAAAACCGTGTTTGACGCTGCCTAATCATATTATGACTTTCTAAGTGCCCCGCGACAACGTCCCTAATTATAGACTCTAGAATTTTCTTACCACCGATATCAGGCTAATTGGTCTATAGTTCCCCATTTTTTCTTTCGCACCCTTTTTAAATAGCGGTGTCATGTTTGCAATCTTCCAATCAATGGGAACAGTTCCAGAATCCAGTGAATTTTGGAAGATCAAAAACAATGCATCACTATCTCTGCAGCCACCTCTTTTAAAACCCTGGAATGCAGGCCATCAGGTCCAGGGGATTTATCAGTTTTTAGTTCCATCAATTTCTCTAGTACTATTACTTGACTGATATTAATTCCTTTAAGTTCCTCACCAACATTAATCTCTTGGATCCCCACTATTTTTGGTAAGTTTTTGATATTTTCCAACGTGAAGACAGAAGCAAAATATTTGTTTAGTGACTCTGTCATTTCTTTATTCCCCATTATAATTTCTCCTGTCTCTGCCTGTAAGGGACCCACATTAACTTTTGTTACTCTCTTCCCCTGTATATACTTGTAAAAGCTCTTACAATCTATCTTTATATCTCTAGCTAGTTTACTCTCATATTCCATTTTCTCCCTCTTAATCCATTTCTTGGTTATCCTTTCCTGATCTCTAAAGCCCTCCCAATCCTCAGGTTTACAGCCCTTTTTGGCAATATTATATGTCTCTTCTTTTAATTTTACACTTTCCTTAACTCCTCCAGTTAGCCATGGTTGAACCACTTTTCCTGTGGAATTGTCATTTCTCAAGGGAATATGCGTTCGCTGGGAATTATCTAACATATCTTTGAACGTTTGCCATTGCTTGACTAATTTCATATCTTTTAATCTACTTTCCCAGTCCATTTTAGTCAAATCGACCCTCATACCTACAAAGTTGGCTTTTTTAAGTTTAAGAGCCTTGTTTTGGACTCGACTACATCACGCTCAAACTTAATATTAAATTCCATCATATTATGGCCACTCTGCCCTTGAGGAGCCTTAACATCCAGATTAGTGATTAGCGCTGCTGCGTTACACAATACAAGACCTGGGATCGCCTGTTCCCTGGTTGGTTCCTCAGCATACTGTTCTAGAAAACTCTCTCTAATGCGTTCCATAAACTCATCCTCTAAGTTACTTTAGCTAATTTGGTTTTCCCAGTCTATATGAAGATTAAAATCACCCACTACTAGTGTATTACCCTTGTTACATGCTCCTCTAATTTCCTGATTAATATTCTGCCCAATACTGTAACTGCTGTTTCTCTTTCCAGCATTCTCGATGCCCTTCCCCCCCTCACTTCCTGAACCACCTCCTACTCATGCTACTCACCCTGGTACACCTGCCACCTCCGCTGACTCAAGGATCAACAATAATAAAAATTGGTCATCTTCAATCTACGACTGTTTTTGGGACGTTGCTGTGCGCAATTGGCTGCCGCGTTCACCCACAAATATACAGTCAATTCACTTTACATTATATTCTGTGAAGCGCTTTGGGACGTCCTCCCGACGTGAAAAGCGCTATATCAAATGCAAGGATTATTATAAGGACCAGGTGTGTGCAGTCAAACTCATCTGGCTCAGATCTGATGTAATGGTCCCCTGGCAGATCTGGCTGGACCATATAAAAATTTACCACTCTGCCCTCACCTCCACTAAATCTTCCTTCTATTCCAAGATAATCTTGGAGGCCAAGGACAACCCCAGGCTTTTCTTCTCCACTACCATCCAGCTCCTCCATCCACCCTATCAAGCCTCACCCATCCTCTCTTCCAACTCCA